CGGGCCCACCCCGAGCCCCTTTTGGCCTCCACCAAAGAACAAAATGGGGGCGGGGGGCGGGGGGGAGGTTAAGCACGAGCTGCTCTTTAGGTCGTGAAAGACATCAGCGCGGAGGAGCGGATGCGGGGTGGGGAGCTGGGGTTCGGCACGTCCCTCTTCCGCGGGACGGGTCCTGCGAAGCGCCCAGCGCCCCACTTCAGCTTCACCCCTGAAGCTGCCCGGGGGCGTTCGCCGGCGCTCGTCAGGCCCCTGGGGCTGAGCACCTGCCGACAGCTTCCCCGGCCGCCCAGACCCCCGCTTCGGGGGCAGGCAGGACCCGGAGCACCCTCCCGGCCTCCCTGCGGCCGGCGGCGCGGCCGGCGGCACGGCCGCGCCCGGCGGTGGCGTCTCCGGCTCCCGGCCCGCAAACCGGTTTGTGAAAGAACAGCCGGCTCCGGCGTGGGCTGCGGCTGGCGAAGAGGGGTTACTCCTGGAAACTGAGCCGTAATGGTCAAAGCCGGCCGCAGCCGCGGCCTGTGACGGCAGCGCGGCGGCCAGGAGCCGTCCCGCCTGCTGCCAGGCCGGCGACGAGCTCTGGCGGGCGGAGAATAGGAACGAATGAAACGCCGCTGTCGGGCTCCACGGGCAGTTCGTTTTTCCCCTGCCTTCTGTGGATCGGAAAACGGTTGTTGTAGAAGAAGGTTCGGCTGACTTAACAGAACACCTGCTTTGCCCCAGTCGTTTTCTTTCTGGTAACACACGAGAAAGCGTAGAGGAAACATTGAAAATGGTACCAAACCGTTAAACGTGTGATTTCATTTTTAGAAACAATAGAGTAAAAATAATTTTTGTTGTCATTTGAATCTGAATATCGTTTATTATTTTTGTATTCTGCCTCCTTGGAACTCTTCAGCCAGTTCAAATTCCTGGGTTTTTTTCCCATGTGCTTTTTGAGACAGTGACAGATTTCATCTTGTGGATACCACAACAGGAAATTAAAAAGGGGAGGGGGAGGAATTTCCACTGTGTACTCTACGAGTACTGACACCTCTGGTGCAGTTTTTTACTTCATCGGAAGTCATCCATCCTTACTTGTGGTATTACTGAAACACAGATTGGGGCCACTAAAATAAGACGTAAATATGAGGAAAGAAAAACTGAAGGTACCTCAAAGCTTGAGTTTCTGTTGAGGAGTACTTTCTCTTTTCAGGTTAACAAAGTGATTCACTTTTCTGCACCTTTTTACTTCCTTGCCCCTCCAAGAGGGGCAAAATGTTGGGGTGTTCAGTACACCACAGACAGGGCTCTCTACAAAGGAAATAAACTGATAAAATTACTACTTGTAGTTAGCTCAGAAGAAAAATTGAATATAACTTTTATAGTTATAATGTAAATATAGTCATATACTTATGACATAACTTGTAGGGCCGTAAGCCAGACATTTTGTGTGAAGCCAAAGAACATAACCCCCCAAAAAGATTGACAGCCACAAACAGATAAGTGATTGCTGCTGTTACTTGAAAATAGAGTGATTGCTAATAATACAAGGAGTGCCAAATCCTGGACATCCCAGCTTGGACAGAAAGCTTCCATAAATCTGTAGTCTGACAGCTCTATACTCCTGCAATTTTATGTGTGAAAAAAATCATTTTGCAAAAGCAGCAAAAGGTTGTGCAGTAAGTCGGTGCCGTGGTGTGTCTGGATTGCCACTATTATTAACTCCTGAATTAAGAGGTATTAAGAAACATCACGCCCAGAACAACAGGTCTTCTTTTTAATAGTGTACGGACAATTCATGACTTCTGGACAGGAGAGAAAAGATCAGTTATTAATTCTTTGTCAGAACCACAACAAAACTGTCCTTGCTGATGCAGATACAGTAAAGAAACATCAATTTCTCTTGTTTCTTTAAGGCAGTGCAAGTAAACTGTTGTGATTGTTCCTGAATGTTCTGAGATGCAACAGCATTTATCTTTCCATCCTCATGTAAGATACCTGTGTGAGTGTTCATCAGCAGTCAGTAGGAATGAATGTGGCCTAACTGTAACTAATTAATTGCAACTAATTGGTGCCTTATGTTTTGTTGACGTGTTTGCCACAAATTTGCCTTGAGTAAGGTATCCTGTGACCATTGGTTTACCTGTGTTTGAAATCAAGGTAGTGGAAAGCTCTGCTGGATGCTTCTTTAGGGTGTAGACTATGCAAGGCATTTATTCTGCGAAGATCCCTGTTCATGATGCTGATTTTGTTGTCAATCACACTCCTTGTCACAGAGGTTGGGGTGCATTTTTATTTGCAACTGCTTTTTTTTTTTTTGGCTGTGCCCCTCTGTTGTAAAACAAGCTAGTAATTTGTGATCTGTGATTTCCAGAGAATTTTGGGAGGATGCTTCTGTTCTTTGAGGTGCTTGGATAATGTCATAGGAAATCTGGAAACAGCTTTGCAAGTGTCCAGTTTAATTTCTAGCTCATTTTGTACAGTACAACTGTGATTATTCCTATTGAGATTATAATCATGGGTAACATGTAAAATGCAATTAAGTGAATGCCATACTGATTTTCCTTAGTATGCTCTGCAGTCATACTGCCTCAAGCTGTGTTCTCATTAGGCCGTTAACGAACTTATATGTAATGCCATAGGATGAGCTTGCATGAGAGGCCTCTAAGGAACAGATGATTGCTGCAGTTTCTAGTTAACAGAGAGCGCTGTCCTCTTTGGTGGTATCATTGGCGAAGTAGCTTTCAGGGTAAAATTTTCTAGACAGAAGATATCTAAGTGACTAACTTTTTAAGTGTGATATCCTAGGAAATTAAAAATATCTACTAACATTTTTTCAACTGATTTAACTGCTACACTGATTTCTTCTAAGTGATTAATTAAATGTTAAGGTAGAAACATGAGAAATACTCTGACTTCTAAGTTAGCTAAACCAGTTATCAGACCCTGGAATTTTATTTTCCAAAATTACTGAGTATTAGGTGTCTAAATGCTGCTGCAGCTACTTTAGTTGACCAAACAGATGTTCGCTTTTGGGTTGAGACATTAAAGGAAGGTCCCAATTTAATAGTAAATTCCACATTGGGACCAAATTTTGAGTTCAGGTACACACCTATTTTTTTTCTCCTGTAAAACTCCTGGTTGGTCTGTTTTTTTTCAGTTGGGTCATACCATTTGGTTACTGCTATACATTTTTATGTATTTTGGTGGTGTGTTCTGTTTTAAAACTGAGCAAGTTTTCCAAGAATAGGAAAGAAATGCTGCGGTTTGTACTGTTCACTGCTATGCCTTTAAAATACTTTGGGACCCATTTAGGTGGCGAGACCTTCATAAATGAACTCTTGATGCTGTGAACAGTGCAAATAATGGTAATCCATGCTGTGAAAAGTCTACCTCTATTTGTTCCAAAAAGTTGAAACTAGAAACATCAGCCAGATGTCTCTAGAGGAGAAAAATGTAATCCTGGAACACTTCTGTGATGACAAGCAAATTATTCTCATAACATATGAAATGAGGACAAATAACAGAAAGTAAGAACAGTATCATTGTTGCTTAAGTTGGTTATGGCTATTTTTTTAGTAATACATTTTTTTCATCATGTTTTTCAACAGTATTGCCAGATGAGAGAGAATTTCAATATGCTGCTAAAATGAACAATTTGGAAACCATGGAAAAGCTGTTTAAAAAGAATGTTAACATAAATGCTGTAGATACTGTAAGTATGAAGTGTCTGACAGATCACTGATCTGAAATGTGACTCCTCGGGGATGCATGGTGGAATCCCAGCATGCTAGCTCCATCAAATATAAGGTGGTGAGGATGCGAGAGTCCCTTCTAGGACCTGATTAAGAAATGTTTCACACGTCCAGTATGGACAATAGGATTTTTGCAGCGTAACTCACAGGTCTTTGCATTTAGCTAGTAGTCTGTGCATCACACTGGGGACTAAAGACTTCTGAACTGTGGTCCCTGCTCTAATACTTTGTGTACTTGGGTGACTAATTTCTGCAGTTCCCCATCTTTCAGAGCAGGAGGATGTAATCTCACAGTCACTTTGAGAATTAATTTCTGCTGCTCGCTTTACAAATTTCAAGTGTGAATTGTTACTGTTTGGTTTGTATGGAACCACAGGAGCATTCTACCATGTTCTGTGGCTCCAGGCTGAGATCAGAGCTCACATTTACCCTAGATAGAAGAAAATGCATTTCTTATGCTGACATCAGCTCTAGGCCTAAAATCTGAGGATGTGTACTTCACAGTAACAAAATACAATGCTGTGTTCCACATGAGAGGTAGTTCAACAGCAATGGAGTGGTTGTGATATTAATCTGGGAGTTGTGGAGAACAGTTTGCCTTCAGTGGCTATGTATAAATCATCTACCTATGCATGTTACTTAATCATGGGTTCTGAAAAAGCTTGCTTCCCATGCCCATGTGCATTTCCCTCCCCCCTGGGGAATAGAGGAGATAGTAAAGATACATTTCTTGGTTTGTTTGTAAAAAAGAGATGGAGACAAAAATTTCTTTGAGTAAACTTCTCTTGAACAATGAGAGTATTACCATCAATTACCTAAAAAGTCACTTAAAAAATAGTTCTTGCTTCCTTATTGCTTTCCAGAATTCAGAAAATTAAACTAAATACTTTTCCAGTCCAGTAGTTTGAATCTTTACTCTGTCATCCTTAAATCAGGCCTATTGTATCAAAGATTCACTAGCATAGCTATGTGGGTGTTGTGCATTGATTAATTCTGCTAGGGGGGACGTAGCTTACAATGGCAAACCATTCCTTTGTTCATGGTGATCGTTCCTGCCCCTGTACTCCCAAGCCAAATAAGCAAGGCTGCCAAAAGGTGAGTTTTGTTGATAGAACTATTTCTGTGCAAGAGGCTTTTTCTGGCATAAATGCATGTCGTAAATCCGACCTTTTTATGCTTTTAATGTATGTAGCTCTAAATTTAAACGCGTACATGTATAAGTCAGCCAAGCTGCATAGAAGCATAAGAGAGCAAGTTCAAACTGACTTTTAAAGTTAATTGCTTAAATCAATTATATATCCTTGTATGGAAACTCTCAGTGCCTTATGTTAAACCCAGTTATGTTCACTTCAACTGGAAGCAAAACCTTCTCCACTGAAGTTTAATTCAATTTAACCAATCCCTTTTAAATTCACACCATTAATTACTTTAATGAAAAATTTATCAAGTGTTCCTGATAAGCATTGAACCTATTCACCTGTGTAAAATTACTCACTGTTTGCAGGGTGGAAGCTTTCATTTACACAGATAATGACTCAGTCTGGGAAGGTGACTAATACTGAGTGAGGGAGGAATCTCATCATGCATTGCAGAGATATATTCAAAAGCAAGGAGGATACCAAAAGCAAATCTAATTGTGTAAATCTACTCCTCAGCTTTTAAAATCAAACCATATAATAAAATAGTAAACATGGGTGCTTCTTGTACTGTATGCACATCCTCTAGGCAGTATGATTACTTAATCCCACGTTGACACTTCAGTGAATTTCAGTGAAGGGATGATGTTACGTAAAGTAACTAAATCATTCTGGTTCTGTCAGAAATCTTCAAGATTGATACCTAAATTCCGTCCAAGGGAACAAAAGTGCAGCCAAAGACCAAGTGTGGCTGTTGAGGGAGAAATATGCAAACATATATATATTAACAAATATGCTTGTTAATAATCGGAGAATTTAGAAATCCTGATCACCTGCAGAAGGAAAAGAACAGTATTATGGACCTGACAACCAAAGCTTTGCTTATTTCAGCTAAAGCGCACCGCATTCCATTTTGCTGTTGCAAGAAGTCATATGTCAGTGGTGGATTTTCTTCTCCATCACAAAGCTAGAGTTGATATGGCGGATCAGGTAAGCTGGTTTACATGTTTTGATCACGCAGTATAGGAATATCTTAGGGGAAAAGTAAAAGCAGGTATTTACCTTATGCTGCCCGTTTTGCAATGTTAAGTGCTTGCTGTAAATGCTTCAGTTTGTCTTAAGACTGCATACATTTATATGAAAAAATATTGTTAGAGGAAAACCACATTGCCCAGAGCTTTGGCTGTGTTGAATACCGGGGTGAGGGCAAAGGTGGTTGAAGCCACTGGCGCAAATATGCTGTCTGTCGTAGTTGTGTATTAATCATTGGCCACTTTAGATGAAGGCAATCACTGAAAGTAAAAATTAGCTCTGGGGATCACTAGGAGCTCAGAAAGTAACTCCCTGTGTTCTTTCCCTCCATTTTTATGTGAGTAGCTTAATGCAAAGCTGTCAGCTACCCCACAGCCTCCAGGACATTAAGAGTTTAGCAGTGTATAGCTGATTTGATTGGGCCAGATAGTGATCCACAGTGCAAGATTTGATTCAGGTATTAAAACCAAATGTATGGTATGTTATTAATAAACAGGCTAGTCAAACCATGAGTTTTCCAGTTAGGTGAGTAATGAAAATAGATGAATAATTTACTTTTTTTTCTCCTGTTTGCTTCTTTCCCCTTATCTACCATATGCGGCAGTGTTTGCATTGTAAGTAAGACAAATTCCAGGTTGTGGAGGGTGGAGGGAGAAAGCTCCCTTGTTTTCACATTGTGTTGGAATGAAAAGAAGATGAGAGAGACCAGTCAGTTCCAGTTACCAAGCAGCTCCTGGCTTGGGCATGTTCTTGCAGTGTAGGTAACCATCTCCTTGTTAGTGCTACATTACTTGCTCTGAAATGTTCTCCCAATCTGCCCTGTCAGTGAGTACCTCACATGCTGCTTTGAAGAAATATGGCCATCTTTCCGGACCGTATCAACTCCTAAGCAAATCTTGCACTGTTGTAAGCAATGTTTCCCTTTTGTCTTGCAATCTGAAAGACATTGCCTGAATGAAGTACTCTAAAATTAATAGTCTATGATATAAATGCTAATAGGGTAGTTCTGCAAAAAGTGGACAGTTTTCTTCAAGTAGTCGTGCTCTCTATAAATACAGTTAAGAAATGCCTGGATCCCTGGATCTTCCACAGAGTACCACTGCGTATAGTGTTGAAGTAATTTTATTCTGTAACTATTGTAAATTATTCTTTACAGCAAATTATTTTTCAGTGGCTATCTTCCGGATTTGTTGAGGCAATAAGGTGACTCCAAAGATTTTGTGGGTCCTTTAATTACCCTCATAGAGTGCATTGAAGCCAGGCTGGCAATCAGTTTGATCTTGCAATTGATAAGAAATAGAATGAAGATACTATGACTTTATTTCTTACTCCATTTCAGTTTCTGACATAATTTTTGTATTAATAAGTGTATGGTCTTAAGCATTCTTGGCATTTCTCAGCACAAAAAGTAAGCTGATTAAAAACACACAATAGTGTTAGCAGCAGGTATGGGGTAATCCTGCCTTTAGATTGGAGACTTTACATAAATCATGGTGATGGTTAAGAAGTTTATTGATTAAGCAGCACATCTCTAAGAAACCAATAATACATTAATTGGCTAATAAACACACCACTATTGTTAGTAGTATTAATCCACAATTACATCGCTCCAAGTTGCAGTGATTGAGTTACAGTTCTATTGCTTATTTCAGTATTAGTGTTGATACACAATTACATTACTGCAAAGAAATCTTATACTACTAAGCTGCAATTCTGTCACTTGTCCTTCTGCACTTAATATCAAGGTACAAGTTTATCCCTTCTTGTCCACCCTACCATCCCAAGTCTTTCAGACATGGACCTGATGGAGAGTCTAGCAGGAGAGTCCAAGGTGGACCCTTCCTATATTGGGGGGAGCTTCAGTCTGCAGGTCACCTTGACCACCATCAGTAGGAGTCCACAATCACAAGACTGTGGCCATCAGAAGATCCTTTCCTTTTTTGTTCTCCAGCTGATTTTATACCTTGTCTTTTTTTTTTTTCCTTTTCCTGAACCCACATTTTTGCTACCCTTGTGCCTCCTTTTCTCCTCCTAGACTCCTCCCTATCAAACAGCCCATGCACAGAATCACACCGAGTGGCTGAGGTGGGAACCTCTGGAGATGATCTAGTCCAGCCTCCTGCTCAGAACATAGTCACAAAAAGAAGGTTGCTCAGAGCTATGTCCAGTTGGGTTTTGATTATCTCCACGGATGAAGACTCCATAACCTTTCTGGGCAATTGATTCCAGTGTTTGATCATCCTTAGAGTAAGAAAAGGTTTTTCTTATGTTTTAGTGAATCTTCCTGTACTTCAATTTGTGCCCATTGCCTGTTTCCCTGTCACTGGACACCACCAAGAAGAGTCTGGCTGCATTTTTTTTACTCCCTTCCGTAACGTATTTATACACAATAAGATCCACCTCAGCCTTCTTTGGATAAACGGTGCCAAGTCTCTCAACCAGTCCTTGTATGTCAGATGTACTTTAATTATCTTCGTGTCCCTTTGCTGGACTCTGTGCAGTATGTCCCTCTCTCTCCTATACTGGGAAGCCCAGAACTGGACACAGTACTGCAGGTACGTCTCACCAGTGAGTAGAGGGGAAGGATCACCTCCCTTGACACGTGGCAGTGCTCTTCCTAATGCAGCCCAGGGTACCATCTGCCTTATGTGCCGCAAGGGCACGTTGCTTGCTTGTGTTCAACTTCATGTCCCCCAGGAGACCCAGGTCGTTCTCTGCCAAGCTGCTTTCCAGGCAGTTGGCCCACAGTCAGTACTCGTGCCTGGGGTTGCTCCTCCCCAGGTACAGGACTTTGCATTTCCCTGTGTTGATTTCATGAGGTTCTTTTCTCCAGCCTATCAGGGTCCCTCTGGATGGCAGCACACCAATCTGGTCCATCAGCCACTCCTCCCAATTTGATATAATTTATACATTTGCTGCGGGTACACTCTGCCCCATCATTTAGGTCATTAATGAAGATGTTAAACAGTACTGGGCCTAGCGTGTATTGCTAGTGACTGGTCTCCAGCTGGACTTTGTGCTGCTGATCAGAACACTTTGGGCCTGGCAATTTAGCTGGCTTTCAGTACACCTTGGCATATCTGTTTGTCTACATCTGTACTTCATCGGTTTGTCTACAAGGATATCATGGGGGACAGTGTTAAAACTGTTATAAAAGTTGAGATAAACATTCACTTCTCCCCCCCTCACCCACCAGGCTAGTCTTGTTGTATAAGGCTCTCAGGTCTAGTTATTTTTTCCCCTTGGTCATAGTTGGGAGGGTTTTTCAGGGCAGACCTTTGAGCCACTGTCACAAATTTTGCCCAAGTCCAGCTTTATTGTTGTAGCCTGTGCACCAAATGCATGTTCCATATTGCCCTCCACTGTTTTCCACTGCAATTTCTGCTTGCTGTGCCCAGTTTGGGGCTCCCCAATGCAGTAAAGACATTGATAAGCTGGAGCGAGTCCGGTGCAGAGTCCCTAGGATGATGAGGACTGTGGCACATGGTGTGCGAGGAGGTGCTGAGAGAGCTGGGTCTGCTCAGTCTTGGGAGAAGAATGGTAAGGGAGAGACCTTATGACTTGACAGCTACATAAGGGGAGAATATAGAGAAGACGGAGACAGACTCTTCTCGGAGGTGTACAGTGATAGGACGAGGCAATGGACACAAATTGCAACATGGGAGGTCCCAATTAGGTACAAGGAGAAAAGAAAATTCACTGTCAGAGTGTTCAAACACTGGAACAGATTTTCCAGAGTTTGTGGAGCCTCAATCTTTAGGCTATTCAAAACTTGACAGGACAAGGTCCTGAGCAACCTGATCCAGTGGGACAGACTTTGAGCAGGAGGCCATAGAAGTGTCACCTCCAGAGGCCTCTTCCCCTGAACTGTTTTGTTATTCAGTGAATAGTTTGCGAGTAGTAGTATCCTGAAGTCCCCATCACAGCATCCTGCTGTCCAGAGTGTTACATCAACATGCATAAAAACTGTTCCTGTTCTCCATTAGAGATGGGAGTCAAGCTATGTATTCCTCATTTACAGAGGAGAAACTGGGGAAGGGTTATAACTGCTAGGGAAGTGCCTTGATCCCTCCTGCTTCCTTTAGGTTTCTCTGATTCCATCTCTTAGACCAGGTGCTTTTATGGTGGAGTATGGAAGTCTTGTGTTGACACTTAGCACAATGAGCCATGATTTATGATGCTGCACCTGGACACAGTACACACAAATTGAGGAAGACGTGGAAAACCTAGAGAGATCTGGGGCCAGGATGGGAGACACTGACTGGAAGTTCCTTATCTCTATTCCTTTTGGCTCTAAGAAGTTAACAGTTGTGGGGGTTTTTGTTTGTTTGTTTGTTTGTTTTTCCTATAAGATAATAACTTTTCAGAGAATTTGAGAGAATAAGAGAGAACCTTAAGAAGAGGGTTAACTGGAAAATTATGGAATTATGGTCACTCATGGAAATATAGTCATTATATATCATCACCTGAAATGTCATCCACCACACCCAGTGCTAACTATCTACGTGGTTTCTGGGGAGAGGGAATAATTACCAGGTAGAATTTAATTCCCCCATTTTAAAATGGGATCAGTCCTTCTCTGGAGATGCCAGACCTTCTGTCAAGAGGGGCAGCTTGAACCTTTAGCTAGGTCTTGATGTATGACATTTAGCTTAATTTAAGTGAGATGAATCCCACTCACACTGCCAGGTGTTAATACTGATTTTCCAAGAGCCTGCAGAGCAGAACCCACTCATACACTGAATTAACCAAAAAGATATAAAGAAATTTGTCATGAGATATTTTGGTGGTAATTTCTGCCTTTATCATTTTATTTGAAGCATGGCCTGACTGTGATTCATCTTGCAGCTTGGACTGGAAATCTGGATATAATGCGAAAATTAGTTAAAGCAGGTGCTGATCAAAAGGCTAAGAATGAGGTTTGTTGATGCCAAATTTTTACCAACTCTAAACATGTTTGTGTTGGAAAAAAATCAAACTTGTTGTTACAGAGTTGCTTATGGTTTTTCAGGAAGGAATGAATGTACTGCACTTTGCAGCTCAGAACAACAGCGTTAAAATAGTTGATTATTTTATCCAAGATCTTCATCTGAATGACTTAAACAAGCCTGATGGGGTACAGTATGTTTCTTTCTGTTTATTTCTTTGATGTCATGAGGCATCTGTTGTGAGCAAAACAATCTTGACTTGGGGAATTTCAATGAATTTTAATTTATTGCCAGTTATATAAACTTTTAATTACTGATTCGGGTATTGAGGAACAAGTAAGAAAAACAGCCAGACAAGCAGTTAGGGAAAACAGCTTTCCTCCCTCTTTGCCTGTCTCAGCTGAACTCCAGACACCTCTCCTCCCCTGCTCCCCTTGCTTTTGATGCATGTGATGCTCAGTCCCATCGGTGAGGCAATGGAAGGCAGAGGAGGTTGGCGTTAGTCCACAGTGGTTTCCTTTTTTCCTGCTCTTTGTTTCTTACTCTTTTCCTCTGCTCCAGCAAGGGTTCTTCCATGGGCTGCAGTCACCCTGCAGGTGTACCTTCTCCTGTGTCTCCTCTCTTGCATCCTTTCATGTCTCCTCCTGTATCTCCCCTTGTGCATCCTCCCTGTAGCAGTGACCACCCTTTCTTAAATACATTTTCACAGAGGTATCATGTGCTTCTCTGATGGGTTGAGTGCTGACATGAGTCATGGGTTGAGTGTCATCAGTTTTGTCCATTGTGGAGCCAGATGGAAGAGGCTGTGACCAGCACAGGGCAGTCTCTGACCTCCTCCCACACAGCTCACCCCCACAGCCCCCTGTCCTTATCAAAACTTGCCAGTTATGGCCAACACGGGTATATTTCACCAATGTAGAACATAAAACTACGTGCAGCCATCCTGTAGAGGTGCACCAGCTCTTCAATAATGCCAGGGCCTTGTCCTTATCAGGTTTGCTGTGGTTTTATTTTTCCTTCCCACAATGTTGGGATCTTGCTTTGAAGGCTTACTTAGCAAAGTAAGATATTTTATCTTTACATGAGGTAAACTTATTCTTTATAGGATCTGTCACCAAACTAACAAAGCTCCCCTATCCTTTTTTTCAAGGCTTGAATTGTATTGACCCAGTGGTGCAAAATTCTGAATTCCTTCTGCACATGGCAAGGCTGACAAAACAGACTTAATTTAACAAAACAAACTTGTGTGTTTTAGGCCTTAGAAAAGGAAAGGTGAAGAAGAATATTCTTTATGTTGAGGTTATTTCATATTTATCTATTAGTTGATTGCATTTTTTTTCTTAGACATTTAACATAGGCCACTATCGGGTAGTGTCTGACCAGTGGTATGGTTTTATATCAAGATAACTTTCTGCAGTTGAGTTGTAAACAGTTCGAAAAGTTTTTCTTAGTTTAACCACCATCAAAAAAAACCCATAATGTACAGCACTAAATATGGGCCTCCTGGATGAAACTTCTGAGATATGGTTGTTCTGGTCTGTGCTTGCAGAATTCAGATCAAACGTGTTACGCCATGGAAATAAATCTTGCAACTCCTTTACTGCCTGTTTCTGAGTGTCCTCAGGCTTTTGATAACACAGTTCTTTTGATAAATATTTTCATACTGAGAATAATTAAGAATTAAATGTTTTGAGCACATTTTCCGCCTTGTTACCATTTCTGAAGACTTTTCAAATATATTCTTCAGGGTATGCAAGATGTGTAATCTGTTTTTTTACACTAACTAAATATTGCATTTTTTTTTTAATTCTTACTCTTTTTGTGTATATCTACTTTTTTGTTAATCTACTTAGTCATACAATATATACATTTTTATGCGGAATACACATATGCATGCCATGTATCTAGTAACCAGAAGCAAAGAATTTTTACTTCAATAACACTGTGCTTCTTTCCATAATTGTTTTCTAGAAAGGTAAAAAGCCATTTCTTCTGGCATCTGAAAAAGGCCATGTTGACATGATAAACAATTTGATTACTCTGAAGATGTTTACATCTGAAAAAGATAAGGTAAAGTTTTCTTTTCCACAGAAGTACTACTGAAAATGTGCTTGTGAAAGTTAACTGTGTTTCAGTGTAATTACTACGCAACTAAGTAATGTGAATAAGCTGTACAGACTTCACAGTGCTGGTAGTGATATATATTGGACCAACAAATATACAAGGATGATTTTTCAGTAATTAAGGGAAGACAGTGGGACTTCTGGTCTTATTGCTGAGAGACTTTTCCATACGCATTAATAATTCGTGTAAAGCAAGACTAGCATATGCTCTCTGTTGGGAGAAGTGGGCAAGTCTGGTGATTAAGGTGTCGGCCTCTGTACTTGTATTTCCCAGTTTTTCACTCTGCTTGGCTGTGTCTGTGTGTCACTGCTAAGTCCCGGATGATTAATTTTTCAAAGGTGTTTAAATACTTCAGGATGCAAATAAGCACCTATGGGGATTTTTCAGAAGTGCCTTAACACTTCAATCTGATTGAGTTTGCTTTTGACACTGCATTTTAAGGATTCTAAGTAACTTTCAAAGTCTGCCCTTAAATTTCCTTACTCCTTACTCAACTATTTGTGGAATGAGCAAATTGGTAGTTCTCTGCATCTGTGGCATTGCAAGGATAAATACATTAAAAATTGTGAAATGGCGAGATACTGCATTTATAGAACCCTGTAAGTAAGCACCCATGAAGTGATGGTGGTTTTTTGGTAGTTTAAAAGATGCAGTGCAACCCAGAGCTCTGCTGTGCCTAAGCAGTTTATCAGCAGAGGTTAAAAGACAGTGTTCTCCCTGACATCTAACAGGCTGAAGGGGTAAACAGCAATGATGGGAGGCAAATACTGTGGTCCTACAGAGTAAGTAGGTAAGAAGCCGGGACAGTAACTCATCTCCTGGGTCACTAAGAGCAAGCACGCTGTATCCATGATTTTTAAAAAGGATTTGAATTTCCCCATGCTCCAGCCCTCCAAGTGCTGTGAATGAAAAGCTGTTCATTCAGAAATGAGGGTCCACTTCTCCTAATTTCCAGCTTCAGTTTGTTTTTAGCCAGTTTCATACTTTTTCTTGGGCCAGCATTGTCTTTTAGCTCAAAACCTGCTGCTTTTCCTGAACGTGCTCTTTGTTTTTATTTGCTTGCTGTTGTGGTTTGGTTGTTGGTTTTTTTTTTCATTAGCTAGTGAGAAATTGTGCTGATGGTGAAGGAGATTGAAGATTGTGATGTTGGCATCGAAACCGCTACAAGTTTCTATATACTTACCTTGGTTTTGGCCATTAATCTTTAAGTCAGTGATCTTGGGGGGTTGATGTAGTCCCCATCCTTGTAGGAACCGGAACCCAAAGTTTTCTCCTGATTCATTCTTTAGGAGTTAGAATTGTAGGTCTTTTCACTGGTCATACACTGCAGTTTTCAGAATATGAGACAGCCAACTAGACCAGCAAGGTCATGTCTGTGTACATGTGAAAAGGTCCCTTTCAGATTAGTCTGAATCTTGGAACAAGCTGTGTGGATCTGCCTCTTTCTCCTTGTATGTAAAAGAGAGATGTATGTAAAATACCAAAGGCTTTGTGTTGGTTTTACTTGATGTTTTGACTTTATTCTGGGTTTAAATAGATCTTATTTGACATTTTAATTTCAAGGAGGGAAATACGGCATTGCATCTAGCAGCCAAAAATGGTCACAGTGAAGTTGTGGAAATTCTGCTCAAACAGTGGGAGGAAATAAATGACCTCAATCAGGTAAGGACACAGAAACTACTGAAAGAGATAGAGATTTGAAAAATCAACTCAGAAATAATATTTTAAAGGAAAAGATGTTGCACTGTGTAGACTTCATTAGTTCTATTGCTTTTCTAGTACCTTTGCATCCTGTTTCCATGTCCCTCCTCTGATAAATTAAACTCCATTAACTCCTTCAATGTCTCTTCCTCTGTCCTCTATTCCTCACACAATGGTCTCCCCTCTGTCTCGCATGCCCTTGCATAACAACTGCTAGTAGGGAACAGAGGAAAGCCTAACCCCCACCTCGCTCCCTGTCCTCCAGCATTTCTGGCCACATGATCCCGTTCCTTTTACCATCTCTGTTGCTTTTCAGGCTATTCACTGAGCCAGTTCAACATGCATGCCCAGCACATACCATCACAGGCACCTCAGCAAAGAGGTCTCAGATTTGGACCTTGTTCATCTGATCTCAATTGACTGCACAGAATTGGCTGCAGACACTGCCTACTCACTTTTTCTTTGCCGGGTTAGTGTTGGTGAGCTCAGCCAGCAAATTAATGAATTGCATATTAGCTGTGAAGGTTGTATCCCTGAGCTGATGCACTCATGAGCTTAATTTTAAGGCTTAAAGTACGGGTGGAGGAGGGAAATGCACACTAACTACTCAACTCGGTGTTCTGCTTTGGAAAGGGTCCTTGTGTCTTCTGCTTCTTCTGTGGGGCAGCTGTAATGAACTGGGCAAGTCGATTCACTTTGTTGGGGACTGGCATGCCCGCTGTGGAAACCTGCTGTGTGGTTGGTTGATGGTCTGTTCTGCTGGCCCAGTGGGCAAAATGAGTAAGAGACACCCATTCCTACCCAAGGCCCTCCTCTTCCTTAATCAGCAGCAGATTTATGGGTTGAGGAGTTCTCTCTTATCCAGCTTGTCTGTTATGTCCAGCTATGCAAGCTTTGAGGCATATGAGCCCCTTTGAAATGTTCCCGAGCCCTGTCTAACAATGTTGCTTCTGCACACAAAGCTTGTACTGCTTGCGCCCCTGCCTTGCCTTGGCTAATGGTGTGATCTTCCTGACAAGCTGGAGATGTTCTGGTCTGTAGATAAACAGGTATCTCTTTCCCCAGCATGAGCACAGCACTAAAATATATTAAGTTGACCAGAATAATGGTGGCAGGAGTTTAAGCAAAGTAAAACCAGGATTTATTGATGTCTCTGTGAATGCTGAAACACTAGAGTAACTTTCAGTAAACTTTTGTGTATTTTAGGAGTTGAGAAGCAGGGATTAGATCATTGTGCAGCTGAAGTAACTTATTTTAGAGACTTGCTGTGGAGACATGGAGACTTTTGGGGGTGAGAAGATTTGAAATAAATATGCAATGGGACTATTTCTGCTAAAAATTCTCCTTTTAACTAGCACTAGAGTTGGTAATTCATCAGAAATCCATGGCATTGGACTGACAGGAATCGGTGCTTATGGTATGTGCTAGCATGCTAGTGGTGTTGCCTGGTGTTGAATGGCAGCAACTGCTACCCACCGTCTTTCTTTCTGTGCCTGTTGCTAGCAAACTTCTTTGAAAAGAGTGCAATTAATATTTATGAAAGTTATCTGTATCGTAAACTTTACCATACATCTGTCCACATAAATATCATCTGTCACTTAAGTGTTGGTGATTTTCCATTTCATTTAAGTGTTAATTTAGGAGCAATCAGGTTGTGTTCTCTTGTGACCATCTCCCCTTTTCTGTTGAGCTGGATAAGTCTGATCGAGCTAACCTGTTTTGTGTCACAGCCTTATAAGTCACGTGGCTTAAATTGGAACAGACATTTTCTCTCTGTTGGTCTAGAACGGAGAAACTCCATTTTACTTGTCTGTTGAAGGAGGTCATGAAAAATGTGCTGAAGTCCTACTGGAAGCAGGGAGTGACATCAATGTTTTAACTCAAGTATGTACAGAGTATCCCACTAGCACACAGGTACTGGGACATCCTGGGCTGTGGGAAAGACCTTTTCTTCTCTTTTCTGTGTGTACTAACATTATATTTGCTCTGCGTATTTTTATGAAATGGTAAAAAATTAAATTAAATAATAGAATAGAATTGGGAATGTAGAGAGTGCTCACAGAGTAACACTGATGTGGAAGAAATGTATCATAGATTTATTTGACAGAGTACTGTGGTGGAGCTTTTTTATTTGCTGTATGACCAACAGTAAAACATATGACTAGGAAATGTAACCAATTAGGGTAACTGAAAATCCTCCTTTTGGGCAGCATATATGACTGAACTGATGACAAACCTGTTCTCTATATCTGGTTCCCAGACTCCAATCCAGGTCACATCTATTGAATGGCCTTGGCTTGCCTGCTGTGAGAAGTTTGTGATTTCAGCAGACTGACAGCTTGTTTGTTTTAGCAGAATTATTAAGTGAAAATTTTCCATTGATTTATTTTTAGAAGTTTGTTAATGTGACTGTACTTGCTTGTTAAAGGTCAAACTGAACAGACTAGGAGACTTTTTGGCATTGTCATTGTCCATGGCACAGGATAGCTGACAACGGTGATTTATCTCTTTCGTAAGAGAGATTGAAAAGGACTATAGAATACTGGTGGTTTTAGCGGTTTGTTGTGATACAGTAAAAATGGGAAGTTCCTTCAGTATTTATAAAAACACATTGTGCTAACTGCTGATCCACTTCATTTTATATCATTTTGTCAAGGGGAGATTTTTTCGTGGAGGGGATAATAACACAAATTTAAATGAAAGATTATCCTATATTGATAGCTCTTTTTAGTACTGTTTTTCCAGCAACAAAAATGTAAGTTTTTGCTGTCTATACCATTTCTTTCAGAACAATAACAGTGCTTTGCAGATTGCAGTTCAGAATGGACATCTATCCTTGGTTACTTTTCTTATTGATAAGAATATTGACCTGGTTCCTAAACCCGAGGTGAGTGTATATCAGCATAACAGTTCTGCTGTTGTTTAGCTTGTCCTGTCTTTTATGGCCTTCCTTGGGAATTCAGACAGCTGAATGAGATTGACTAATTCCTTAATTTTTTTTACTATACATGTTATTATGTGGTTTATGGATGTTGGTTAGCAATATGTATGGACCTACAAAGACAGAGTCCTGTTGCACAAAACCAGTGAGTGCCTGAGGAAACTGGTGCAGTGTAGAGGTGGCCCAGCTAAGCCACAAACGAGGCATTAGGAGAAGATAAGCAAAGTACCCTGCTTGAACTAAGCAGCAGTAATGCAGGCCTCCCTGTGTGCCATGGGCCAAGAGTTAACACTTGTAACTGATTTTGCATAAAGGTAAACAAAAGGTAAATAAACACTTGAGTACTTTCACCCTCTGCACTCAAAGCATGTGCCTTCAAAATCTGCATGCCACCATTCTTTGGGGTTTAAAAAGAAAGGTATTCCTAATATTCAAATCTTGTCTCAATTTAGATATTACAGTTTTTGTTGCATCTGAGATTTTCTGTGAATAGGAAATTATTTTCCACTTCTATGGTACAGGTTGAAAAAAGAATCTGGGCTTTGTGACTTCTCTGCCATGATCACTGTCCTGTTGTGTAATGTTATCAAGGAAGAACAATTTATGATGTGCTTGAAATTACTTATTTTAAAGGTCAGGCAGTTATTGTGCTGCTTGCTCTCATTGGCTTTCTGTAGCAGAAGCAACTCATAAAATTGTAGCTTACGTTTTGGAAACATTTCCACTGCAGCATTGCATAAGGGCTTGCTTTATTTTTCTGTAGCCCTGAAGAAATGGCTGTGGTTTATAAAGACACTAATGACCTGGTGTCTGGCACCTGTGAATAGCACTGGTATGGAATTATTCTTTAGCTGCATTTAAGAAGAAACCAATGAGTCACAGGTTCAACATACAAAGCGATCTTGCCAATCTAACGGTTGGATTGTGACTGGTGCTGGATGTGTGCCCCAGTTATTTTAATAAATAATCACCCAAGTAAAACCCCTTAATTTCTTTCTAGCTGTAATTTGCTTTTATAAATATGACAGCAAGTCAGTTTAGTATGAAGAATATTCCCAGCAGCAATATGAGACGAGTTTATTCCTGGAAAGTAGATTTTGACATCTGTTTACCCAATACAGAATTCATCTGTCTCCAGCCTACTCAACTAAGGGCAAACCCAATTTTCTGAGGGGACAGAAACATTATTGTGAGCTCTTTATTGTCAGCCAAGGGTAGCAGCACATCCCGGTATGGACACGTAAGAGGAGTGCCTTGCTGTGTTCCTAAGTGGTGACACACTGATACACACCCCATGCACTCAACATTTCCAGATTCCTCAGCTGTATTTGTTTACCTGCTGCTGTAGGTGTTGCAGGAGCAGGCTACCATCTCTGGCATAACTCCGCACCTCAAGGTGTGTTTTCTGCACTCTTGAACCTCTGCTAGAGCACATCGCCTTTGCAAGGAGCGGATTTTAAGAAGAACCTTTTTCTTGTTTGAATAGACTTCTAATAATGTATCCAAGTATAACAGCTTATTATTTTCCTTCCACAGCAGAAGAATTCACCTCTCCATTTAGCAGTCATCAATAGTCATCTACCAGTAGTAAAAAGCCTCTTGGATGCCAATCATGATATAAACTCCTTAAATCACGTAAGAAAAAACTGGGAATTAACATAACTTCGCCGGTAAAAAGGAGATTATGTGGCTTTTGCTTGAAATAATTTTTTTTGCCTTATGAGCTCAGGGTACAAAAAAATAGGAAGGAAGAGGCAGTTCCCTCCTTATCTTTTTGCATGTGTGCATATGTATTAGTCACTGGTACATGCTGTGCTAGTATTGTTTGTGCAAGATAAGGATAGCAAAATGCTATATACTCAGAAAATATTTGGATTAATTTATTGTTCGAGTGTTACAATTCATGCGTAATAAATGACTGAAATGTCTCGACAGTATTGATCTCAGAGGGAAACCCAGTGCAGAGTGTCACTTGGCTGGGATGGAGTTAATTTTTTTTCACAGCAGTCCCTGTGGTGCTGTGTTTCCGATTTGTGACCACAGCAGTGGTGGTAAGGCACCAGTGTTTTAGCTGTTGCTGAACAGTGCTTGCACAGCATCAAGCAAGGCCTTCTCTGTTTTGGACTCTGCTTCCCCCTGTGAGTAGGCTGGAGGTGCACAGGGACTGGGAGGGGACACAGCCAAGCAGATGACCAGAGCTGACCAAAGCGATGCTCCACACCACACAACATCACACTGAACAACAAGGTCACAGGTCTCTGTGGTGCAAGTGTTAGCATGTTCGGCTGTTAACTGAAAGGTTGGTCGTTCGAGCCCACCCAGGGATGCTGGCATCTGTTTTCCCCCCCTTTACCAGGAATCTTTGGCCTCTGCTTGGTGCCGGTGGTCTTTGAAGGCCTGGTTGGTTGGGGGCCAGTTCCTTGTAGACCACCTCCACCACCACTGATCCCCTCAGGTACTGGATACCCTCCTCTATGGAAGGCCACGTGATGCGTGCCAACATATTTACTTTGGTGCTGGCTTTCTTGATGCCTGGGGCCGTTATTGCCTCCAATAGCTTGGGATTTCACACCTGAACAGGCATGTAGTCCCAGGTAGTTGGTACAGCAGTTGAAGGAGGGGAGCCTTGTCTGCCCCCATGAAACACAGTGATTTCTAACGCTGCGTTGGGGCCTGGCCCATGCCTACTGAGCTGCCATCCTGTGCCTTCAAGAGAGGAAGAGGGTTTCCTGATCAAGGAGCACACAAGGGGACGCTGAGGTCTCCTGCTCTGAAGCCACCTGTATGGACACTGAAAAGTCACTCAATCTGAGGGCACACACCAGAGATCCAACCCTCAAATATAGTAGTTGCACCTGTACTCAAGAAGAATGGTGGAAGCGGATGTCAACTGGGTTAGTAACAGCGGCAGCAGTTCCTGCTGCTTTCCCATTGATCGTTTTATTGCTAAAGATTAATTTGTACACATTTTTGCAGGAGACAGAGGCTGTCGTTTGTGCCTGGAGTCAAGTATGGTGATAAGCTCTTCCGTCACATAAAATAGAGAATTTTGTAAACTTCTTGAACACATCTTTCAGAAATGTTTTGTGCTTTGTCTCTAGCATGTCTAATGTTACCTACAATAGCTACATAGATATCTCTAAATTACTGCAGAAAAGAAATTAGGATGTGTTGTTGGGGAAAATTTATGAGGTCATGTGATCATAATGTGTATTCCCAAAAGAGCTGATGAGAGGCTCTAATGTGGAACCCTGACGCTGGTGTTTCTTGGTGTGTATGGTCTTAGTGTTTGACTCTGCAACCTTTAAGTTAAGATCTAAAGGCCAAAAAAGTTCTCTAACCAGACCTACAGAATGTAGACTTGCAACATTAGAGAAGCACAGGCACAAACCCTTCAACTTAAAAGGATGCTGTATCACATGAAACATGCTAAGGGACATGTCTAGATATGCAGGGCTTCCACAAATGACAACAAATCTTATTTGCTGCTGCATTACACCCATAGATATCTGGAATTTCTTATTCTAATATTCTGGAGAAGGTTAAATAAATAGGTTTTATTTGGGTACATGCAGTTGCATAGAGGCTATACAACCCTCATTTCAGACCCAAAGATTAGACTTGAAGTTGAATCCCCCTTTAGCTGTACTTTTTGTTAATGGTTTTTGTTTAATGCTTTTTTTTTTTCCTCTTTTTTTGTGTGTGTGTGTGTGTGTGTGTGTGGTTTAAGATTCACTGAACCCATTATGGAGCAGGTAGACTTCTACTACATATCATTGCTTTGTGGCAGGGCTGGCTAACAAACCCTGCTGTGGTCGTGGCACAATGTACTGTTGAAAATTAGGGATGTTCAGTTATCTTTGCATGAATTTCAGCAGGGAAAAGGTTACTTGAGAGGATAGTATGGGTGGGGGTTGGCAGTCACATGAAGCACTCTGTCCAAAACACCTTGTTCTAGAGGGAAGAGAGAGAGCTCGTTAGGTTACAGTATGTTAGAGGGGCATGACAGCAACTTTTTCCTGAGCCAGCTGGAACTCCTGCCTGGTTTTCCTGCAGAGATCCCAGACGGTCTCTTGTTTGCCTGAAACAAAACTGGCAGGTAAATCACTCAAAAGTTAAATGATTTCATTCTGTTCAGTGTTTTCTTGCCAAGGCTGTCTTTTGTTGTGAATCTTCTTTAGATTCAGATTGTGAGCACCCTGCTTCTAAGAGGGAATTTGGCTTATTGTATTTATTTGGTGTCATTAATTCCAGAGGCAGGAAACCCCTCTACATCTGGCAGCTGATCTTGGCAATGTGGAGCTGGTGGAAGTGCTGCTGAAGGCAGGCTGTGATCTCAAGACCGTGGATAAGGTAGATGGCGTTCCTCACACATGCAAGGATTATGTGATTTTATTTTTTGTTTATAACCTTCTTCCCAGAGATGCAGAAAGCACTTTTTGCTAGTTGTCTTTCCTAGGTAAAGCTGTTAGTTGTTACAAAGAAGTCTCCTTTGAATACTGCTGTATCTGCAGCTTGCAAAGATCTGAAATGGTTTTAGTGAAGAGCTGTAAAACTTCCAAGCTCCGTAGTTGGAGGGTAAACCCTGCTGCCAGAGACCTCTGATGGAAAAAAGGACTAGGCTTACGGAATGAAAAACAGCCTGTGGCTGTTGTAACTGTGCACCTGCAGCCAGGTTCACTGCCAGGAGAGGCACAGGTACTGCCAGCTTCACTAATTGCAGCGATGGTGAGTTTGCCCTTTAGCACCCTGGGCCATAGGGAAATGATGGTGCCGTGTCCCTGAGAAGCTGTCCCAGATCCATTCAGGTGCGTGCTTAGACCCTGTTGCTGATGTTCAGCCTGGAAAGACTGAGGCAAGAGTGGCAATGGCTGGAAGAAGTACCAAAGCACAGAGCCTCTGGGGAGGTGCTTTTGAAAGGACAGAGTACCAAATCCAGTTTTTACAAATAGTGCTAAATTACTGCAAGATTGAGCTTGTCTTTTTTATGCTGTTACCACTATATTGATTTTCTGTATGACTGAATTGACAGATTTGATGTTTATCATGAGCAAAATCTAGCCCTTTAATAATTTCAAAAGTAATTTTCATGCACAAAGCTGTCTGATGAGAAGCAAAGCTTTACAGACTAGGATCATCTCTTTTTTCCCTAGCCTGACATGAGGCTCAGAGCTCTGAGTGTGGGTGACACGGCTGGTGTGTTTTGGGAGGCTGAGGTAAGATGCTGCATTGCAGTTAAGCCTTCCCATTCAGAGTCATACGCTAACTGGAGAGCTGCAGTTCTCATATGGGCTAACCCAGAATGAAATCTTGCCCACTTTAGACATTGCCTTAGCCATTGGAAAATTGTCTCTACCTATTCATATTCCAAGGGCAGGCACAGAAAATTACTTCTTATTGCCTGTTTTGACCTTAAGCACCTGCAAGGCTTTGGGCTGGATAGTACCCTGGTTATTACAGCAGTGTTGACTGTTCAGGGCATGTTATGAGAATATGGCTCTGAGCCAGCACAAGTTCTGTCACCTTTCTGCATTGGTTTTATTTCTTGGAGTAGCTTTTCCCTTGCCTGTTTGCTACATGACCCCTGAGGCCATGCCGCCACTGGGAACGTTCGCAAGTACAGCCCTCTTTGAACTGAACTGGTGCTGAGATGCCAAAAATGTTCCCGTCCTTAATGAACGGTAGGCAGGAAAGAGGGGAGCCTGCTTCAATCGCACAGTGTTTTCCTGCCCTCCGTGCCCCAGCAGCAAGAGTCCTCAGTCTCCAGAGCATGTCATGCATCTGCATGAGTTGCAAGCTGTTACAGCTCAGGAAATGCTCTCTCGGGAGCTCTTCCTTCCTCCCACCTGCAGATATAATTGTCGTTGTTTGCGATTGATAGTGCAGGGAGTGTTCCCTGTGTGCAAGACTGCCATGCTACATGTGCACACAGGATGCCAGCAGTGTCTGCACTAGCACAGGAGGCCAGAAACATCCCCTTTTTCCACCCCCTCCACCTCCCTGCGAAATGCAAAGCACCTTTCCAGAGGTGGGACCCAAGGAGCTCTTGTGGTCTCTGGACTCTTCACATATAAAGGTTGTCTGTGCTATAAAGATTTTATGAAATGTAAATTCCTTAGCTTCCAATACGATGCTTTTCTAAAAACAGGCTAATTAGGATGATTTTGAGCAGAGCCAGGAGCTAGACCGCAAAAGATATATATTAAGGAACTTTATAATAGCTGGAGAGTTGAAATGCCTTATAATTTAATTACTGAACCTTCTAATTAAGGGGTTGGCTTCTTTTAGGTCTAATTTTCTAGAATGCCTAGCACTTGATATGTGGAGAATGCCCTGAATATTTAAATTTGAGGCAGTTCCACTCAGCACAAATCTGCTGAAAATAGACAATTGCAGAGAGAACTCTGTAGAGCCACCAAGATGCCTTTGCATAAAAGTGCTGATAGCAGAGATGGGTTCAGATAGACTGAGCAGTCCTCTGCAGCTGGAATTAAAACAATGGCTTTTAATTCCTTTGCCTGTACTACTCGTGAAACATCACCTTCAGTTGTGCTCACTTCGGTTATCATGAGAAAGTCATTCCCACACCCTCTTTTCATTCTGTCAGCCAGCTTCTCTTACCATCCAAAACAATACGCAGGTTTGCCCTTAAAGTTGGAGCTTTCCAACTTCGCCAGCCTATCCATCTGAAATGCCAGTTTAACCATACCACGGAAATGGAGTGTATTTGTGGTAGTTTTCAGCCTATGGATGCCTGGGCTTGCACGAACTTGGAAGCAGTGACAGGAGAGCACAAGCTGGTATGAAGTATGCAGCAGTCTGAGTACAGGAGGTTTCTGAAAGCAGCTGTACCTCACCAGAAATTCTTTAGGGGGAGTTCAATGTGTTGAAAAAATTGACCACATTTGGGCTGAGGGGGTACAACTCATACAAAGCATAGAACTTTGATTGTAGCTACTCTAAAGCCACAAAATTATAGCAGTAAGTTTTCTTGAAAAAAAGGGATAGGGCTCTGTAAACAAAGCTCCCGTGTTTCTTCGATGATATACTTATCCTCCTATATATGAGATAATGTTCTGACACACACTCTGCTTTCAGCATGGAAAAACTGCACTAGCTGTGGCATCAAGGAGCAATCACGCCCTCATTGTAGATATGATCATTAAAGCAGAAAGGTATTATGCCACAAAACAGGTAAGAGACATCTTTCATTACACTGAGGATAACTATAGTGGAAGAGCTGATTCTGATCCTGAAGTGCCTTTTGCCTGAGGTGGTTCCTTTTGACAGGTTGCAAGACTGGCCTTGATAAATTGAGGTTAGGTTGGGAATGGGAAGGTCTCTACCCCATCTGGGTTTTATTCCTGACTAGCTGTAAAATTGTAGGCAGATCTTACCATTTTCCTGCATCATGCCCTACACAAAGAGATAAAGGGGTGGAGAGAGATTCTGACCCAAATTCAAGCTGTGCTATCAGCATCAGGGCTGGGATGACCTGAATCCACGTTGAACCCTGTGTCCTTTGGTACAGCAAAATCCCGTTGGAAAATGGAGGAGTGCAAGTGTCTGTCACTCCTTTGCTAGTAAGGGCTCAGCTGCTTTGGCAGGAGCTCCCTCTTCTGTTTTATGTGTGCTAATTATAAAACGCAATCAAGGAAATGGGAAAGAACCAGGCAACAAGTGTGAAGGACACAGCTTAGATTGACCTCAGATTGTCTGAATTTCTAGCCTTCTTTCCATAGTTGTTATTTAAATGTAGGCTGTTTAGTGATGGCCCTCCCTAAAGGGCTGAGTCAGATATGTTAAAGTGTAGATGACAATTATTTTGGCCTACGTTGACTATTCCACGTCACTTATGAATCTGTACAGGCTCTATAGGTGGTAAGTGTCTGAACAAGAAAAGCTAAGCTTAGTACCTCTTCAAAGGAGTATTTCGAGCTGGGCTGCTGGTAAGTTGCATTCTAGAGATGTCCCTTGAAATTCAGACCCAGCCCAAATGGGTCTTGAAAATTCAGGATGTCTCATGTCACGGGGTCTTAACTGGGACCATTTAGAATTCTGAGAAAGTTTGTTTATTCTGTCAATGACAGTTGTAGCAATGAGCCACAAAGAACCTGCTACACCTACATACTTGATGAATGGGAGGTATTTCATAGGATGGTGAAGGTTCATTTTAGGGCATATTAATGCTCCATAAACCAGTCTTGTATTGGCTTGCTCAGTTTTTCTTGTTTGGAGCCATAAGTTGATGTGGGCTCCGTGAGAATTGATTAAATTTGCTGGGTTTTGACACAATGCAGTTTACAATCCCCAAGCTCTTGCAAATACACTGTTTATTTACAGACTGGTCCTAGTGCGGCAGTAAAAGACAACTCTTCTAGCATCCACCATAAAACCTGCAAGAAGGAAGATGCTAACACAATTTATTTATCTAGAGCAAGTAATTCTGTAAGCACCAGAGCTAGCAAACTGGGGGAAAAGGCCTGGTGAAAGGAATTCACTTGACTGCTAGCTCTTGCGCTCTCATTGCTGAGCTGCCACACAAATCTGTGACTTCATTCTCATTCCTGCTTCCTGCTAGGGAGTGTTTGTTTTGCCAGGTTAGCCAACTGCCTCCTGGGGCTGTATAAGCATACTGTTCCTGACTGAGAGCAGGCATATCAATTAGCTGGTCTTTTACCACCCCACTCTGGCCCTGCATGTCCAAATCTATGACACTTAATGTTACAGGGCATTGTGCTGGTAAATCACAGATCTAGATTAATTATCATGAAAAACACCTCCACGAACTCCCCGTGTTATGCATATTTGATTTGCATCAGTTCAGCTGGAGTTGTCATGTACATTACTATTTCTTTTGGCTTAAAGGGGAATTAGAATTGAATTAATCTGTTGCCAGAGAAGACATGACAAGTCTGACAGGAGTGAGCCTGTAATGCTCCTAACCTCTTAGCGCTGTTTACCGAATTGCCTGAGAAGAAAAGATGTTTAAGCAGACAGTTTTCTGCAAGAGCTCCACAAATGTTGGGAAACAGCAACATAAGTGTTTGTATCACATTACCTGAAGCTAAGAGCACAGCCTTTGGGAGCAGCTTAGATCTTAACAGTTATGGAATATGATGTTGTTCAGGTGGTGTTACCATATATGAAACTACAGTGTTTTGAACCATTATTGTAAGCCTGTCCTTCTGTTCCATGGAGCTGACATCATCTGTGAAGAGTCATTAGTTACAAAAGGAAATGTCATGTTGCTGTTAAGGAAGCGCACATGATACTAATGTGTATGAGTGTGTCTTGTTCTCTCTGTTTACCCTTTATTCTATTTACTGCTTCTACCCAACCCTTCCCTATCATTGCCCAGGCTGGTTTTGACTGGATTTGAGGACTGCTGTTACTGTCCCACCCTACCATTGCCTAGACACACAATTAGCAGCAAACAGAAGTTGTGCTGCAAAGGGAGGAGAAAAAAAGGGGAGGGTCTGTTGGTCTGTCTACTTGTGGGTTTTTTGTTGGTTTTGTTTTTTTAAACCTCAGAAGAGAAACACTGAACCAGGGAGAGCCTGAAACTGTCCTGTAGAATGTCCTAAACTTCACCTTGCATGTGTCAGGAAGCATGAAATAAAAGTCTGCACAAGAAAAATTAAATCAAACATATAACAATGCTTAGCTACTGAACTAAGATTTTTTTTTTTCCTTGCAAGACTCTCATAAGGTTATGAAATAACCCTGTTATATTTTTCTGAATTTAATCTAGAATGGAGTATTTTATGCTTAGCACTTTTTAAAATGTGGCATGCTGCCATTTCCTTTTTTGCTTAATATCTGCTTTCTAATCTTGTATCAACTTCCTGAAGACATTTTTCACTTTGGAGACTGATTTGAAACAGGAATAGCATGCAAACAAAATGAAATATAAAAGTAGTTCGAGCTTACCTACACTAGGAATGAGGCTTTTCCCTGGGCACCACTCAGCTAGGCCTGAAATCACTGCTAGATGTGGCTTTTGCAGAGGTGCCCAAACAAGAAGCAACCCCATCACTCCTGTTTCAGGCGAGCCATGCATATGGTAGCAACATCACTTTTAATCTGGAGGGTAAAATGCTTGTGGGTTTGGTTTCTATCTGATTTTGCTTATGCAGGCTAGATCCAGGTTCAACATGCATGTGCTTATTGGTGCTTAGACACTTTGCTGAACAGGGCTCTGCATGCTAAACCCAATGGCTTGTGCTGCCATCGAATGACCTGGTAGTGCCTGCATCAGCCAAGCAGAGGTGGGAACAGCTTGAACAAGTGCCACGCTGATGGTGCCTAGCCTCTTCCCAGGGAGAGGCTGGTACTTCGAGAAGCAAGAGGAAAGAGTAAGAACTGTGGCTGAAACCCAGCCATGTTCAAAATGTTACATATAAAGCAGATAGAGCCAAGGAGCACAGCTGTGCTGGTGTGCTACTTGCTGTTATTTGCTGTTGTGTATCAAGTGCCAGAGAAAGTGGTTTATTTTGCATTTAACTTAGTAGGACATAGCAACAGACACAGGAGGGCTTTGTTTCTGTTCTAAGACTGTAATAAAACCACCCATGCTAAGACATCTTCCAAAGAGCTCTACTAGCCAAACACAGTTCCTTTACCTGCACAGAGCAAATCACTTGTCAGTAGCTACATATGGCTGGTTGTACAGGACAGTGTTCGCTGCTCACTAAGCAAAGGTTCCTAGCTTCATTATAGAATTTATCATCTGCTTTTTTTTCAGGAACATCTAGCTCATAGTGATGATGGGTCAGACTTCGGCTTATCCTTCAAACAAGATCATAGCACACAGACCAAGCAAATCCGTTCCTCCCTTTGGAATCTAGCATACAACCAGTTAAAGCCCCAGGAATGGAAAAAACTGGCCCTGTTCTGGAAGTTCACGGATGAACAAATTAAAGCTATTGAAGAACAATGGACAGGTAACAGAATCTGAATGGCTAGACATAATATATAAGCTATAAAAACCACATGGTAGAGTTGCTTTTTAAACTATGTGAGCATCACAGATACACACTGGCCATATTGCTCTTATTCAAGTTATGAAAAAGAGCAGTGAATGGATACAAGCCTTGTTGCTGGTTCCTGGGAAGTGGTGCTGTAGAAGTACAGGCCACTTCTGTTCTCCCTTTCCCTGAAGGAACCTTCATCTTTGGATATCAAAAACAGGAGCAGTAAGCAGCATGGAAGGGTCTTGCAGGTCATGCTGCAAGTGAGGACCTGGAGAACCTCGTGACACCTGAAGATCTTGTTCATGCTCTGTCTTCACAGCTGCCATGAAACAGCAGTTTATCGTTTCAGGCATCTCAAGTGCTGGGAAAGCAATACTTCTACAGCACGCATTGTACTTGTTTACTACTACTCCAGGGTATATTTCCACATGTTGAGGAAAAATGAAAGGAAAAAAATAATTTTAAGCTGAATTAGCTTTCTCCTCCCTTTACAGTAGCCTTAGGACAAAACTAGAATTTTTGTTCATTTTATTTTTTAACCTGTGTAAGTCTTAGTCTTCATTCTGCTTCTAGGTGAGAAAGGAACTAAGAATACATGAGTAGGTTTTAAAACCTCTGGGAACTCTAAAAGGGCAAAAGCACAAAATACTGTTTCCAGGATATGGAACAGACAAATGCTTTGTGTATTGCACAGGGCTAAAAAGTTATAAGGAACATGGAAACAGAATGTTGCTCATATGGTTACATGGTATATTGCTGGCTCATCAGAATCCTGTCAAGCGTATATATGAAGACCTGATGGAAGCAGGATTTCAACCTGTAGCTGGTAAGTTGTTACAGAGCACATTACACTGTCCTCTGAGAAGCGTGGTGTGGTCGTGTGGTGCCGAGGTCCCTGCTGGTGCTGGGAAGGTTGTGACCCTGGTGGAGCTGGAGGACACTCTCTTCCTTTCTGGGACTGCCCTTGCTGGGTGGTGAGGTTGCTTGAGGAAAAGCATTTAAGTGAGACTTAAGATTTCTGAAGGAAGATAAAAATGTGCAAACTTTGCTTCCCTCCTTTGTCCTGCAAACACGGTTGAAATGTGATTGGCCATCCTTCAGTTACATTAGTCTGGCCGTGTAAAAAGCAAGCATTTTCTTCTCCTACTTTGCAGAGAAGATCAGAGCTGCAAGTAGCACTGACGTGGACTCCAGAAAATGTGCAATTTCGTGACTTCATGAATAAACCATGGCATATATGATGGAACTGCATGCCAGATGGAATTGTGTGACTTTTTCCAAGCTAGAAGCACTTGCACTCCTGAAATATTGGTTAATTCTTTCTCCTATGCTTGCTATACAATGATTTAAAGAATTTAAGAGTGAATGGCTGGCTGGTAAGCAAGAACTACCCCCCTACAATTTCTACATCTGCCTTAACATTGATACACTAATTCTGTATTGGAACTGCAAATTAAGCTATTTTGTGTTTGACATGAAATGCAAATGAGATGTTTTCTACATGAAAGAAATTAAATTTAATAAGTGAAAATTATGTGTGTAAATCAACACGTCCAGAAATAGGTTGGCACCTGGCCTCATCTGGGATTCAGGTTTTTATAAAGTCTTGCTAGGATTATAGTGTTCCTATCTGAAGAGGGTTTTTCTCTTGTTTAATTAGTAGTAGGATTAGCATAAGTCTTTCTTCTTCAGCATTTGATTTATGTAGTGAAAATACACAAAAATGTTATGTCTAAAACCTTGTGTGGCTGCAGAATTTTCTTCCATGGCACAACCTTGCATACATATTCAAAAAGAACATTTGATATTTAATGCTTAACACATCTAGCAATTATTTACCTATTTCTTGTTCATGTCTGGAATTAATATTTAGTAGTGTCTTGCTGAACATGTTGAAAGGTTTTCTCATTATTGAATATATTTCATAACTGAAAAATTATGTAAAATGTTTACCTTTGTAGTCTTCTGTATAACAAAATAGCAATAGTTTTCTCATGTAATGGAAGAATTGAACTGCCTTGTCTGTCTATATGTAGCTAGCATTATTTTGTACTGAATCTTACTGTATGTACTAAAAAGATGACGATCTGTATCTTAGCCTGAAGTCTTACACCTAACTGCCCTCTTGCGTGTAGCCTGTTTTGATACGGCTGCAGAGCACCATAAAAATATGAATAACAGACTGGTAAATCCCCAGGTTTTGCAATCAGGGATCTAAGATAACAAATTCTTAGATACTGACAGGTATGCATCAAGTTCTGCAACGTTAGCTTGGAAAATGAGAATGTTTAACAATTTGATGGACTCGGTACCTCACCTGGCCCTAGTCTCACCCTGGGTGTGAAAGACACCACCCCGTAATTCTTCATATAAGTATGCTGTTGTAGGATATAATTAAAATGCATGTCAACTACACTTGGTTGCCTAAGCAACTAAAAGCATATATAACAAAAATTAAATTTAATTTTCAGTTTAAAGTAGATGTTAGTAACATTGGGACTAAGCAGATTCAGACAAAAATCACATTCTATCCTTTATTTAAAAGTGTGCAAAAGATTCCTTAAATAAAAAGTGTTTATCTTAATAAAATAAGTTCTCAAATAATTTGAAGGTAGAACAACATTTCAGGTTCTTTTTTTCCCCTCCAGATGTTTAGTATAAAAGCATTTTTACTTAAAAAAAAATCTGGTTTAGAAAAGGGTAAAAACATGATACATACTTTAGGCCTTACTACATCAAATCTAAAAAGACTGGGAAGAGGTTTATATTGTACCTTGATAAAAACCCCCTCTGGTGAGAAAGATATTCACTCAGTCAACAACTTTTATTGACTGAACACTGGCATGAGTTTGGCCCTGAAGCATTCGCCCAGCTTGTCCTGCAGGTCTCACAGTAGTAGAACCAGAAGAATGGAGCACAGTTCGAGGATATTTAGCAGCAGTGGCTTGGGATATGGTTTGCTGAAAAGTAATCAGATACATCAAAACACTTAATGGTAGAAAAAAATTCCCATTAAAATAGCTGTAAGTGAGCTGTAGTTTAAACAGAAAGATTTGCAATCCAGCAAACTGAAATACACTTCTCAAAAAAAAAAAAAAAGTACTTTAACAGAATGAGTAATTTTTTTCCTTCCTTATCTGTAGTATACTTTTCAGAACATAAAGTGCTAAACTTCCAGTTAGCTAGATACCCTAAGATTTTATCACCTCAATTTTATTTGAAGGTTAGTTTGTTTGGTTTTTTTACCAAATTGTTCAGAATTTTTCCCCTGTAGTGCTAATTTAATCATGCCAACTTTCCTTTTGAAGTTCAGTATTTGCTATGAGGAAGTCTCTGAAAGGTCTCTCGTCTCTGAAAGAAAAGGTTTGCATTTATTTAACAACAATGAATTTTCTCCCCCCAAACTAGCCACCTTACTGCAATAAACAGTAGTCATTCTGCTTTTAATCAAGGTAAAGTCTCTCCCTTGTCAGATTAATTAAAGAGAAATACTTCAGTTTGATAGACTTCCACTTAGGCATTTATTTGCAGAAAGAATACATGTAATATATCTCTGGGACTATCACATTTATTACATTTTTAGAAGTCAGGTTTTGGTACAGTAGTTCAGGTACTTGTCACAAAATCTGAATCCAGAAATTGTTGAAAGAAGTCTCACACTAAACCTCTAACACCCTAAGGACATACAATTTAAATATTAATTTCTGCTTAGGAGCCCAAATTGTCAAAAGCTATGTGCAGCCTGCCACAGGGCTCTGATTCACCACACAAAATGACTGAAAGCAGAACATCCCTCACACAGACAGTTACCAGTAACTCCAGCTCACATTAAGGGACCTGATGTAGCTCTGCTTGTTCTAGCAATATCACTGAAGAGAAACTGGACTTTCGGATAGCACAGAGAAAATTCAGATCCTACTTTACATGTTAAGATATATTTAAAAAAAATCTTCAACTGTTTCATACACTTCCAGTTAAAACAATTTTTTGCTCAGATTGGTCTCAGAGTGTAGTGATTGCCTAGGCTGTTTAGGCCACTGTTTACAGCCTTCTTGTATGTTGCTTTCATACGCTATTAATGCACTTATTTCAGTGTTTTCTTCAGGATAGATGGGGGAGTAGGACTCAAAATACAACAAGCAGCAGGCTTAACAAATTTGATTGCCTCTGGACAGGGGTTTTACTTTTTTCCCCAATAATTTGCTACACTCAGCCTGTCAGGCTAATCTATATCTCTACCACCTCTGCTATCTACCACTACCACCTCTACCACTCTTCCTGCTATACACCATGAAGCTTATCCTTAAACTGTGGTTCAGCTGACCACTTCTGCGAAGTGGAAGACTCATGGAAGAGCTGTCCAAGAAAGAGACAGCCATGACTAAGATACCTGTGAAATAATTACTACAGAAACAAGACAAATAGATTTAAGTGGTAGTACTTACTTCGTCTCCTCACCAGTACCTTCTACCCAGCCCAAAGACAGTACTGTTTGTTACTCTACACAGGTCTCAAGTCTTAGCCTTGTCTAATACCTTTTCACGATAGCCATTTTTCTTTAAACTACTACCAGATGTGTTGTAATAAGAATACTGTTAAAAGCACAATTCTGACTTACCTGAGTGACTGGATGATGTTTTTCAACAATGATTGAACTCATGGGTGGAGCAACTCCCATCACTGCTAAACTACCATAAATTCTGTCTTTTTGTCCCATATCAGCTCGGCCCATGATTCGAGCAGTGATTGTTCTTCCTGCTTTCTGTTGAGCAGATGTTATTACTTTTGCCACGGGCTACAAATAAATTAAGTATTAGCTGGTAAAAAATTCTAAACATAATATTTACAGTGCTCTAGTATGTCTGCTTAGTTTTATCAGCCATGTGCCTAAACGGAACATGGGATGTTGCAGGTAATCCAGTTATGTTATATGGGACTGAATTTGGTCCACCTAGTAGCAACCTGTTTTGTTATATCTTTTTGCACTCTTAAGTATGAGACAGCATTTCGAGCAAATGACTTCTATCCTGAGGGGACTAAGGCTAATTTGGCAAAAATGAAGCAGCATGGATAGTTTAGCTTTGCTTGCTGGCTGCATACTTGAGTGACAGCTACAGGCACTTCCATCACCCTGGAAAGTCTTTCTAGCAGTGACATAGCAGATACAAAAAAAGCTTCCATGCAGTAAAATGCTGCATCTTTCTCTGACAGCTGGTAGCAAACTGTATCATATGGGAGAAAGAAAGGAGAGCAATACAGAAGACAGTGAAGAAAAGTAAAAAGGACAGTTTAGCAACAAATACAGAAGGGGGAATGAGAAAGACATTTCAAACAACAGGATGCTAAAGCAAAGCATATTCTTTCCATAACAGAATGGTATCATGTGAAACACCAGTTGTTCCTGTTGTGCTATACGTAAGCGTATGTGCACTCTTCTATTCTTCATTTTGCCACATTTCCCCCTGTCCCCTCCAAAAATAATTTAAAATTGCTTCTAACGTAAATGGGTTTCTGTAACGTTAATAAGCATTTGCAAGCTAGTGTCTTCACTCAGCTATGTAACATCTATGGCAGTTTCCTCAACTACATACTTGTGTTGCTCTGAAAAATGCGGAAATAACAATACCCAAACTGATATTTGTTATAATTATGCCTTAAAAAATAAAAAAGTTAATTTTAACACGTTACCAGTTTTTGAGTTGACGCCACACCAGATCCTGCAGCTGTGCTAGTGACGATTACTGGAGAATCAGAATCTAGCCTGGTCTGAGAAGTGCTTGCATGACCCAGGTGGGCAGAAAACTGAATGAAACCAGAGTTTACAGAGAATGAGTATAACTTTCTAGAAAATATAGTTTTACTCTTCAGATAGTCAGTTTTTTCACTATTCTAATTACACTTCTAAATTTAACTTCTTTGCAGATATTTTATCTCTAGTTTTACTGGTTTATGGCTAATTTAAAAATACTCATCTAAAAATTGTAGAAAGAGTGTGAATAACATTTGGTACTATTAGAATGAAAAATCAGGAGAGGGGCATACACATCTTCTCACAGTGGCAACGTCTTCAAGATGAATCCAGGCAGGTCCACAATGTCCAAGCTACTGGATAATGATCTGGCTAAGCTGACATGACAGGACAATAAGCTGAGTTCCCTCTGTGTCTATATATGTTACACTTTTTTAAAAGAAGCTTCAAGTCAAGCCAGATTTTCTTCTTTTCAGATTATATTAAGCTCAGGTTTTTTGAAAAACACTCATTAACAGCTTTTTTTCCAGAAAGAATCTTATAGAGCAACTTCTGCTTATTATAGTGACCTTATCTTCATTAGTTTAACACATTTTCACTAAAATAAAAAACAGAGCTTAATGGAAGTACAGCAAGTCACAGCAGCTGTGCCCCAGTCACTTACACCATGCAGTCTGAGCATAACCATAGCTTGCTTTCTACACTTAGACTGTCTTCAAATTCCTTCAATTCATGAGCTATGGCATTTGTTTTTAAAAACCTCCAACCAAAGAAGTTCATTGTTGTCAGCAGCAAATGCAGTTCTGTTCCAGCTACACACTTACCATGTCTTCCAGCTGAAGAGTAGTTGCTGGTGGAGGTGGTGGTGAGGGTGGATTATATTGTGAAGGAGGTAGCCTTCCTGCAACAGTGGTACCATTATCATTTCTCCTGCTTCCTATATCTATTATTGGAAACATAAAGTAATGGGATCAGCACATAATCTAGCAAACCCTAAGGGGAAAAGAAAGAGATAAATGACAGTAAAAATTGACTATTATTTTGAGATTTCTGTATAATATAATTAAAAGGATCAGCCTGTTTCTTTATAGGTGTGTGTATATATACATATCTGTACAAACATTCCTGTATTTGATGCTTCTTTTCAGATGCTTCAAAATAATATTTTTTGAGGGGCTTGTTTCTGTGTTATGCCTCAACATCTCTGTGGCACTTGTCACATACTTGTAGGGCAAAGAACTGAGGTTCTCTGTACTGCTGGCCAATACTAAATCCAGTGTGCCAAAGCTGCTCTTATGCTAAGGGCCAAAATCCAGTTCAGGTAGAGAGCAGCAAAACACAGAAAGGCCATCCTGGACTTCTGCGAGGCCATAAGATCTTTAAGGGGAGTCACTGTCAAGTAAAATAAAATGTTATTTTAACTTTCCTGAGAACATACTGCAACTTCAAGGAGCCATAGATCACGCTCAGCAGCATCTCATGTCCATGTACAATGGCTGGACACTGGCCACATCCTGGCTGGAGGGCTGGGACGATCTGTGGGTGCTCTATAGCCCTCATCTCTCCCCACCAGCTGGGTAAGCCTGAGCTTGCGGAAAATCCATCCAGGATTCTTTTGTTTTGAATTGCAGACATCCTGAGGAGACTGTGAGATGTTATGAAGCTTGATGAGGACCACACTGACCACCAGAAATTAAGCATCAGATCTGCAGACCTAAGCCCATATCTTTTTCAAGCAGTTTCAGCCTTTTCCTTTAGAATACAGACTTCCTTAAAGGAAGCAGAGAGGTATTCTTATTTACTCTCCTATTTCTGAAGCAGATGATGCTAGCAGCAGATCCAGGACAAGGGAACTTCGCTCATTCCAGGGACAAGAGTGACACCATCTGGTAGTTGTGGTTTTGGTTTTTTTTTCCTCTTGAAGCGAGCAGGAAAAATACAAGGAAGGCAGTTCAAATCAGTGCAATACTGAAAGATTTCAAGTGTAAAAGTATGCTGGAATATGCATTTTATACATATCTATGTATGTACACACATTAAACTTAAGCATAGACAGGACCAACACATAGTTACAGACCTATCAAATCTGATCTGTTACTTAAAAAAGCAATGTTACTTTTTTTAAAGTAAAAAGTAATGAATTCTTGTGGCTTCAATGTTCTTTAAATACATAAAGAGGTTAAAAATAATTTTAATAATAATTTAAAAAAAACCCCATCTGTCAGTAAATGAGCCAGAGATATTTTAGACCATCAACATTAACTTCAAATGTTATGGACCCATTAAGGTTGTGATACTTGCACACTATCAATAACCTAGATTATAATATATAGTATATGTATGTTGTTTGCATATTGTATGTATATTAAATGTACATTATAATAACCTAATAATAATAAATCTGTAAAGGGATCAAATTCTGCTTTTATTTCCAATGACAGTAGGTGGCACTGCAATGTTCATATAAACATAAAATCACTGACTGACTCTGGCACATGGAAGTTTTAATGTCCACAGATTACAAGACTAGAACAAATCACAATAATCATCTAATCTGATGTTGAAGTCCCCTGATGTCCAGATCACTGTTCTGTTACACCTGAGGAAGAATGCAAATAAATGGCTGTACAACCATATTAAATAACTATGTAGCTAATTTCATTAAAAGCACCATCTGGCTGTAGCAAGAAAGAGATAGTGTGCCTGGGCAGGGGAGAAGGTGGTACTAGAGGCAGTAGAAGACGATGGCAGGCATAGGACCAAGGACAACAGAGACTGTGAGATGTTATGAAGCTTGATGAGGACCACACTGACCACCAGAAATTAAGCATGATGCTAGACACCCAGAAAGTTGGGTACAGGCATGCTGGCGTTGTCCAGCACAGCAAAATCTCTAGATACTGTGCCTGTGTAGTGTACCAGTTCCTGCTTCATAGTAAAAATCAAGCACAATGTTTGGTCCGTGAACCCCAGGGGTTGGTCATGGCAGCTCTAGAGCTCAGTTATCTTCATTTCCTTCCTACTTACCCTCTTTACAGGTTTACAGAAACAATACTTTCCTATTTCACACCACTTGGTTAGCCATCATTATTAGGGAGACCCATTGTCTGTTGCATGTTTTTGGAAAACAATAAACAAACAAATAGAAGATAAAGCTTCAAGAGAGAGTAGTTCTGAATTTATAGCACGATAAAAAATAAAGTAGTTGGGCAATGCCCTGTAACTTTATTTCCAAACACACTATCTTCAAGAAATCATTCATTCCTGACCCTCCCCAAATACTGATCCTATGTTTTTTACAAGCACACAGCTACTGCACTTAGCCAAAGTCCTATTCTAGTTTCCTAAGCAACTGCACAAATTCTGCATATGTTTAACAGGCTCAGACAGCTGCTCAGGTAAGTATCCTCTTACAACTTCATCAGGTTTTTATTTCCTCTTTATATCTGCATTTTTTGAGAGGAATTTCTCTGAAGCAGTTCAGAAACTTCTGGTATAAGATTGTTAAGTTTAGCATCTGAAGTTAGTTGTCTAAGGCCACTGGCAACTGCTGCCAGTACAGCTGGTTGTTAAGCCACACGTACAGCTGTGACACTCCTGCTGGCACAGCTATTTTCTCTTTAATGTAGACTGCTGCACTAGCATGATTATGTTCCTACTGCTATAGATCGTCTCACTCTGAGGGGGTGATTTCATTACATCAGTAAGGGCGTGCAGCTCTTTCCTGTGTAGCTGCACAAGTTTTATGAGTGTGCTGCTGATATAATTAGACTGGTGTTTCCTGTTCTGGCACAGAACTCTAACTAAATATAGAACCTAGGAGACTTACTTGCCCTTTTTGCATTAAAAGGCAAGATTAAGAAAAGAGAGAGCTGTCTGGGAAAAGCAGATTCATTGCACACTGAGATTCCGGAGAACAGAGAAGAGTTTTCCAGGATTTCCCCCTCACCCCCTGCATAACCTGGGTGCTGACAGAATTCTGGGTAATCTTCCAGAGTATTTTAAGAAGTCTGCCATCCTTCGCTTCTTGTTCTGCCTTCAGTTGCAGGTTACCGCCCTCCCAGCAAGGCGGGATGAAAAGAAAATGTTCCACCTTTCAACTACAGCAGTACAAAGTTTAGCATCAGAATATTTCTCAACATATTCAACAGGACATTTTAAAGGAATAAGAGTTTGACAAACGCTGTATTTCCACAAGACCTCATATTAAATTACAAAGGGTAAAGGGAGAATCCTTTAGAACAAAGAAAAAACCCAAACCCAACATGCCCCGCCCCCCCGCCCTGCTCCCACCAGATTAGAGCTGCTTTTCATACTGACCAGGATCTGTCCTACTGTCCTTGCCCTGAAACATGGTCATTGCTTCCAGATTCAATGCACATACACCACGCATAAAAGCTTTCTTCATGGTGTCTTCATACTGTTCTCTTTCACCATGCAGTCGCAGAATCTCAGCTTTTGTCTGTTCCAAAGTAGCAGTTAGCTATGAAACAGAATAAGGAAACAGTTGTCTTGTACTTCTGAACGCAAACTATGAACGTATTCCTTGATTAGCTTTCAAGTCACTTACTATGTTTACAAAGATACACATTTTCACTTCAAAATCTCTGGTTCACCAGAGATGAACAGCTACGTGTCCTTTCTTTGTACTACAGCACATTATTTGTACTAGAGCATACCAAGGACAAGAGTTCATTTGAAAGGACTGTCAGACCCTACCTAACCAGCTAAGCAGAAATTTATCTTGCAAGTTTTTGTCTTTTAGAAGTTAGGCATCTGGCACAAGCTAGATTTCTGCAGGAACATGGATTCACTCAACAGAAGAATAAGTGTTCCCAGAAAACTCTTTAAGCATAGGGTGAATTGTCATCAGCAATCACTCTTTTCTAGCTACTGTAAAAAACCTAAAAATGCTGAGAAAAGACAGATAAAGTTATTTTTATAACTCAGTACTTACTGGTTTTGTGCTGGTAAACCATATTTGGTAAGCCTGTTCTTAAAATTCTAGGTTTAATTTCTTATAAAACCCCAAAGCTTTAAAAATACGTATTTTAAAACTTTATCTACTTACTGTGCACCAATGCACATATTGGTTAACTTAACTTCACCTTAATCTCATTTCAGGAAGAGTCCCATTTACTTCACCTGTATGCGCAGATCAGCAACATTTTACATCAGATGCAGGGGAAAAAAAAAAATCTAGAAACCACAGTTGAGATCTTAGATCCCCTCAGATCTTCTTGTGTACTTTGGAACTCTGTTCTGCTGGAAAGTCCTCATGTTTTTGAACTTTGCTGAGAAAGAGATACTTTGGAGGGATGGGGGGTGGGGGAATGAAGGAGAAAAAGAATGAAAAAAAGAAACCCTACTTTACCTCTGCAATTTTGGCTTCATAATCATTGGTGAGCTGAACACAGACATCTTCTGCCCTTAACTGACAGGCTTTTGCCACTTTCTCTTTCCATTTTTCTTCACTAAGAGAGCGCCATGCTGCCCATACTTTCTTCATCAAAGCTGTCTGGAATTGTCTGTCTGCTATTCTATTTGCATATTCCTTAGGAAACAAATAAAACCACATAATATGCAAGTTCAGGTTTCCTAAAAATTTAAGTACTCAAGAGGGTGTGGATGATTGTTTTACAACTTATTACACAGACCACAGTAGAAACACTAAACTGCGTTACACATGCCACAGTGAAGTGGTACACAAACACAGCATCAGCAATTCAATATTTCTTCCTGCTCACGTGTCACAGAGTGTTACTGTCCCCAGTACAAGAACCATATTTGTGAACTCCTAAGTTACACAAAACAGTGGTTTTACTCTTAGCTTAATGACACTTAAACAACAGCCTCACATATATGGTGTAACCATGCACGTGTGAAGCCATTTAGTGGATATGTGGCACATTTTGATTCACTGCAGGAACTATATAAAACCACAGTAACAAAGACTGCAGATGATTAGTATAAAACACCTGCCTTTTAAGTAAATGTAGACTTCAGGATACTTTAAAAAGTCCTTTAAGACAATTCTATTATTCTACTCTATTTCAAAATAGTCACCAGACAATTTCAGCATTAAATTATTTTTTCAGGTATTAGAAAAAATAAGAAGACCTGAGTAAAAACCAGACTCCAAATTATTAGTAAATTCTAAGATGGGAGGGAAGGAAAGAAAAGGCTATCCATCTCTGCAAATCAGCAGAGTTTTGGATAGCATCAAAGAACTTGAGTCTATTCAGGAATCTGTACCAATGAACAAAGGTCCCAAACACAGCTTCTCCTTTTTAACAGCATGCAATGGAAGAGGTTTGTAGTCTTGCAATGGGCTCCTTCTTTTCTGTCATATTTCACTTAGTAGACTGTTTACTGCTAGATGCCTGATGCAGTGCCCAACATGTTGTGTGTGACCAGCTCTTAGCTACAACTTTTGGCAACGTGAGAAAAGAAGGCAGCTGGTATTTTAATTGTGAAAAAGTGGCTTCCCCCAAAAATGTGATACTGTATCACATCACTGTTCAAACATAATGTGTTTGAAATTTAGACAGAGATTCCCTTGGCACCTACTTCAAAATGTAGATCCTGTAATTTATGGGGATTTGCTGTGAGTTGATCACAGTAATTGGAGCAATATAAGACAAGTATGGGTTTAATTTTTTCCCCCATCCCAGAGAGTATTCCGACAGCAGCATTCTTTTTAGAATTGATGTTTTCAAACTGTTATTTGACATTGTCAAACACATCAAAATAGAAACACTGTCATTTCTTCAAACTGTAACAGGAACTGCAGCAACTCTGACCCTTTTGAGTTCAATTCCATTTTCATCACATTTTTATTTTGCCCACATACCTCTTGTTTGGCTTTAACGTGCTGAATCCGCCACAGTGTAAACTTTCTCATCAACTCTATTCTCTCCTTTTGCCTCTCTAATGCTTGGGTCAAGTTAGTAATCACCTGCAGAAATATTAACACTATTTCAATAGCTATGTTCTTTGTAAGGTCAAATGCAATGTACTTTATGCATCAGTTATTTTTCACTTAAAGCATTTGCTTTTAACAGATGCTTTCTACTGAATCTTCCCCTTACTCTAATCAAGCAGGAAAAAATAATCAGAGTTCAAATCAGAACTAAAATTTCTGTGGCTTCAACGCTGAGACTGTGGCACTTAAACACTTTCACTGTGTAGTTTTAGGAAAGGTTCAACTGAATTCTTATTTCATGCTACATCTGCAGGCTTCTGTGCTACTTCCTTATAATTAAATGTTACTGTAGCATAAAGTCAGAAGAATCACTTATTTCAAAGACAATTTTGATAAGTCAGGAGCATTTATATTAAAAGTTTTAGTGCATTATTAATTAACTGAAGTGTAAAGAAACAATTTAGCTGCAGAAAGGTTATCCAATTGTTTGAACAGAATAAACAAGCTAAGGAGTTGCTAAGATCTAGAAAAATCTGATTAAGAATAGTTATTCTCTTTAAAAGTTCCCATGAAAGATATCATATAGGCCTATAGCTATCAAAACATTTCAGAGGCAAGATGGTCTACTAGACAGAGAATGCAGCTAGGGACTTTTACCACCAATCTCTAAACACGTTTTAATTACTATACAGAAACAGCTGAGGTCTCCTGATTAAAAGTTAGGCCAGGCATGATGCAAATTGGGTACACCAAATCACTGAGTATTTGCCTATATTTTTGCCTAACTTCTTAAGCTAGATTCTGCCATCAGTGACATCTGAGCAACTCCAATGGGCAATAGTGACCAGTCTTGGGACTCTTGGGGAGTAGCGTAAAGTTATGTTAACTACTGCATAGAGATTGTGAAGAACAATATTCTATGATACTATATGCTAACATATCTTAATATGTTATATTGCCTATGTTACATGCAATAATTATTGAACATACATCAATGAAATGAATGATACTTAAAATAAAATTTACCCTTAAATCAAATTCACCCAGCAAATAGTACAAAAATCCTATTTTGTTTCAGTACAGAATTTCATACAAACAGTTTCAGTCAATCTTCAGAATGTTTAACAAAATATTACTGGGCAAAAGCTTGGTTTCTTTAAAGTGTTCAAAATATCAAAGTCAGAAACAAATAAAGGTTAATTTGATACATTTAAAGTAATTTAAAGCTGATCCATCTCTAGAATTTTAAGAATGAGTCCTTCATAATACTGTATGTTAATAAATCTAGCATAAGCTACTTTTCTCTGCTTAAATATGACTAATTTGAACTTTTCACAGTTTCAGAATAACTGAAAGAGTCTCAGCTATATAAGTAACAATGGATTTATCTAAAATTAGAAGTAAATTTGCATAAACTATCAAGAAAATAGAAAGCAAAGGAAATGAATTAATGAATAAATTAACTACTTTTATTGAAAAGGTGTCATATACGAACATAAAACATCAACTTTTGATGCTGCATACCTGTTGATACACACTAGAAGTCTTAGCCTAAATCCGTGTTTGTTAATTAGTACATTTTTGCCACTAAAAAGCATTTGCGAGATTTACAATGGGACAACAAGAATCTACAGTATTCATAATATTTGTGAGGCTGAGGGACTTTGGGTCATGCCCATGTCAGAATACAGCAGTTTTGGTAAGTCTGGTGTGATACATGGAAGCACTGCCACCTACCGTTAAGGTGGTGGCAATAATACTTTTCTATTGAAAACAATTTTTTTTTAGAAACAGAACTATAAAACTGGTTGAAGAAATTATTTCTTTGGTAACAGAAAAAAAATACTGCTTTCAAAGTATCATTGAGAATTATGGCGCATTAAACATGAGTGACATACAATGATATCCAAAAGAATTAGATACGTTTGAATGGTATACACTGCAATAACTATGGCTCTGCACGTATGTACTAGTTAAATGGTATTATACTAATCTTGTTCTTGTAATGTTATAACATTTATATTTGCTTTGTCTGCCAGATTAGACTGTTTTCCAAATGGACACAGAAAGAACGTCATCTTCTTCCATATTTTAACTCCTTCCTCCAATGGATGTTTTTAAAAAAAATGTAAATAGGAATTAAAAACCCAAACTCCATTAAGTGTTCTCCAGTACTAGATTAAAAATTCAGGATAGCAATAAGAGGATTTGTTATGTGATTGCAGGGCTGCCAAAATTTTATATCCATTTCCACAATTCTAGTTAATTTTGAAGTTGTTGATAGCAGAGAAGCATAACTCAGAGACCCCAAATGTACAATCCTAAGAATTCGTACAAATGTACAATTCCTAAGAATCCTAAAATAGAAACTCTTTAACATTTCAGAGACTGCTGCCGATTTAAAATTCCAGAAAATCGATCAAATAATTGAAAAATTGAAGGCTTTTAAAGTGTAAGAGCTAATAGACTCATCTAAGCCAGTGTGATCTTCACCAAATAAGTAAGGATCAACAATAGCCCCTAGATTTAAGAAGCAAACAATGCCAAATATGTACATACAACAGGTTAAGTTTCCACTGTTAGTATGGACAACATTATTAGCAACAATGATTCTTTTTCTACTATAGAGTCTAAACATATTATTTACTTCTCTGTGCTACTTCCTGCAAGAAGAAGAATTTTGTTCAAGGAGATAGCCCTAAAAATTCAATGTGGATATTTTTAAAAAGAGAGAAACTGTTGAATTATGAAACTGAATTACTACCTCATCTTTCCTGCCAATAGAGATTTCATAAGTATGTAGCAACTCCTTCAGGTTTTCCATCTCATTGCCTAATTGTCTCACATGTGCAGCATGTTTCTCTTTTTCTTGTCTCATTTGAAGCTTGTGATGTTCTATCAAACTAAGCTTCCATTTTTTCAATTCAGTCAGAACATTTGTCTGAAAAGTTAAAGGATGACAGTAGTGCAATCAGTAAAATTATTCCCTCCTCCCTAATCTTTTAAAACACTTAGCAATTAAGGAGACATGAATATTTACAGTCACGCTTTCATTACACAGGCTGTTTATATCTATAAATATTACCAGACATAACAAACTGTTGAATGATAATAACTGAACATCCCTTATGGAGAAAGTTATTCCAAAGCTCTTGAAAGAAGATATTCTAGTGTTTATATGCAATACACAACAACAATCAAAAAGAAAACCACCATTTCCCAGTCCAATCACACTGCAACTCTTCCTGCACTCTCACTTATTATACAACACACTGACATCTGTATACAACTTTTAAGGATTCCATACAAAATAAATACCTTAAGACTTCCACTCCAGAGATCAAGTATGTTTTCTATTTGAGTTACTTTTTCATCGGATAAAGTTAATTCAGTCACTATGGTTTCATTGATTTCTTTTGGACCGCATGTGGACCCTTGTGAAGAAGTCTCTTCTGAAAGAACAGGGCAAAGTCGTTCCATATTGGCTTCAGAAGGCTCCTTCACAGATATTAAGACTAAAAATGAAACAGAGAATAAGGATTGATACTCTGGAAAGGCTAACTGATCTGCAGTCTGGATGGAAGTCAGAAGCTAGGCATTTAAAATAATCCCAAGCCCCCAAAGATTTATGCCATCAGAAACCTCCTTTCCCCATGTAAAACAAACTACCCAATTCAAATATATGCTTCCAAGATACAAGTATATTTAAACCAACAGTCCTATTGTATGGTTAGTCAAATCAAAACTACCTCTCCCTTAAAAAGCAGAATCTTTTAACGTCATTTCATTTTAAAGCGGATGATCACATCAAGTACCAAAAAAATAGCGTTGCCAGAAACAAAAAGCATCTCTCTCAGTAAAGACTTCTTGTCAATTAACATCTCAGGTAAAAAAATCTAAAAACTTTTGCTGTTTTCCTTAATGAGACTGTAAATTCCTGAGGCCAGGGGCCTGCCTTGGTGCATTCACAATGCAACCTGTGGGTATATTTCAATGTTGGTATGTACCTGCATCCATTTTCCTTACAGCCATGAATTTGCTCATCTAATTAGATTTTAAACTCTTTTGCAAAAGGAAATATCTACTATGAATTTATATAATGCCTGACACAACAAGGCCTCACTTCCAGGTGCTGTGGCTAACTACCACTGCAATAAAAATTAATCCACACCCAGAAGCGAATGGGCATGTGTTTGAGTTCCAACCAATGGGAAGAAAAAAATGAGCTAAGAATAAAGAAGTTAAATATTTAAGTAAACAAAGGAAATTAAATATTGTTTCATATTTAGTTAGTCCTTACAGAAAATTTATTATTCAAGTTGACAGCTGAATAAAAAAAAATGGAAAGAAGAGGGATTAGCAGATTTCTGGTATTAATAACAACTGGGACACCTTCAAAAGAATACTATCCTTCTTTCATAAACGGAGTGAGGAAACCTCTAACATTCTAGTCATCACTTCTGAAAACAAATATTGTCTGTATAATTGGTTTCATAGTGGATGGGTACTATTTTTTGGTACAAGCATGCAGAGACAAGCTTAACTGTTTGTCACAAAGCAGTATTTTCAGTGGACGCTGGAAATGTATGTTTCTAATTATTCAAGGCTGAGCATGATGGTTGACACTCTTTCACACAGTTATTGTCACTGTTAGGTCTCCTGTCCAAAAGAGATGAGAAGAACTGTCTGGCTAATACTCCTCCCAGTCAAGTAGGTTGAATTGCAACTACTACACTCATGCTCCAAACCAAGAAGAAAATAAGGAAGAACTGTGATGCAGAGGCAGTTACAACGGCTTTTTGGTGCTTCTCCCAAGGTCATACACAACTACACATCATAAAATTAAAATCAGTTTGAGCTAAAGAAGCCCCATCTAACACACCATTTCTCTAAACTAAATTCCCTACCCCATTACATAAGCAGAAGACCATAAACAGGTTATTCCCAATCACACCAGTATATTAAGATCAGGCTCTAGCTTTTTGTCAATGTTTCTCCTACAAATGAGAGAAGTATTGGCTAGCTAATGGAAGAATTTGAATATTTCTTGCTTGTAAAGATCTCAAAAAAATATGACATGCTAGACAGATGACCCAGTCTACTTGAAAAACATCTAATTTCAGTGATGAAGAATCTGGCTGGCCTTTCATAATGTAAAATATTTGGCAGCATTACTATTGTCAAGTATTCCCAGTTCTGTCCTTCACCACTTGTTCCCTTTCCTGCATGTCACTGTGTTCTTCCTTCAGTTGTGACGCTGCTGTAAAATGCATGAAGGTTTGTTTTTATTTTTAAACTTTTATTATTTGCTTGGATTACAAAGATAGCCAACTTACACAGCACAGTTTGCAAGTTATTTACAAAGAAAAAACCAGAACAAAATGTAACCAATAAAACCAGGATATTAAAATAGACTGACAACTGCCATAGTCTGAGAACATAGTATTACAAATTTATCACTCCCCTCCCCTTAATCCTCTCACACAGATTTTGGTCAGATCCTTTTTAAAAGTTGAAATAACCTTTTTACAACTAGATTGTTTCAAGCTGTGTCTCAAGGAGACATTAGACATCTCCTTCCTAAACTGACAGGACATAGTGATATTTTGAACAGCAAACCTATGTTTTGATAAACCAGCAAAGCACCAGAAATTTATTTATAATGTGTAGTTAAAAGCAGCATGATGGGGCTGTGTAAATATTCTTCTTGCGTCAGTCTCAAGAAGATCCAGAGCATGTTCTTTACTGGTTTTAACCATTTTTTTCATTTTGAAAATAAAAGACAAATTGTTTTTTGCAAGGTGCTGCCCTTTGCAAAGATAATAAACATCTGAGTGTCTATAACTGAGGGGAATACATGGCTCATTGTAATAAGTGATACATAAAACTGCAATGCAAAATTTTGATCACCATCAAGTATAACAGTGTTTCTTCCCCCTGTCTCATAACAATTAACTGCAGCTTGCAAATTACTATTCTTATTTGGTAATACTAAGCATATTAAAAGATAACTCTATTCAAATATTTCAAGAGAAGCAATCCAGGGAATGGAAATTTGTCCTCTCACTTCTATTGCACACCTTTAGGCAGCAAAAAGGAACAAAGACTTCACAGGCTATACATTTAGCCCCGGGGGAAAAAAAAAGTAAGAGCATTACCCCTTTCACAGAGTTAAAGGCAAACAGCAGACAGTGCTGGCTAAGGTCTTCTCTTCAGACAAGTATGATCGGAAATAGAGTATACAGTCATCTACCAAAGCACAAGTCTAGTGTTTTGATTCTGATCACCTTTCTTATAAGCAGCAGTATCACACATCACAAATATTCTCTTACAAAAAACAATGTTCCTCTCAAACTGGGAAACAAAACTCTAAACAGAGAGAACACTGGGGACAAGACTTGAACAAGAATTTGCTCCATAACAGAATTCCACATTGCTGGGTTTGAAATTTTCTACTCCCCTTTTAAGAACAACTCCAGCTGACAAATGCTTCCAGCAGCTGACCTGAACTGATCCACAGTTCAAGAATTTTGCAAGTGTTTTTGAATCCTGGCAATCTGCTGTGTGACTATCAACAGCCTGCTATAACGGAAGAAGACTCAACATGAGCAGTATGATCATGAAGCTCAGGGAAGAATACAGGGAGTGACCACAGCTGTTGTAAAGAAAGCTGAATTTATCTCAACACAGGAAGGGGCAGAGGGTGGCCTTTGTTTTTGGTAAATGGCTGTACCAGTTGAGTGGATCAACTGGTTGTGTAAGTGGCCTTAGTTAATCAAGAAGTGTGAATGCATTCCTGTGCTAGCCAGCGGAGCATGCAGGAAGCATTGGCTCAACCCAACACAGTACAAAAACTGAGCAACCAGCAAAATGACCTTTCAACAGAGCAATGAGCTTGAGCTGGCTTTAACCCACATAGTCCCTCCTGGCAACTGGTGATGGCCTGTGTCATGATGGTTACTGTATAGACACCAGTAACAGGAATCACATTTGTACTGTGATCTAACTGTATATTACAATTCCTCTATCATGCTGTGACTGTTCACTCAAGTCCTGTGCAGATTTTGGCTAATACACAGTTCATGTAAGGTCTGGTGTATCCTGAGAGTAGTGCCATTAGGTCAAGGCAAGAATAGCTGTAGGCAGGACATGATGGACAGAAGGTCTAAAGGTCATTACACAGCCGTTATCATCTGTCTCCTGCAGCCATAATCCTTGCACATTGATTGTCTGGCAGTTCCTTCAGAATCCACTAACTTATAGAGATAGTATAGACCAAGCTTCCAAGCTGGAAGGTATAAATATGTCACCTTACCCAAAAAGGTTTTGAAACATATCCAACAGCAGCCAGACTGCTCAGGCTTTTGTGCTTCCCAGTGTGATACAGGGGAGTCCTGCACTGTGATGGAGGAAGGATGAGCACTCTCTCCATCAGTTAGGCAACTATTTTCTTCACAGGGGTGTGACCTACAAGTTGTGAGTTATGAATTGGAGAACTTGTGAGTTAGAAACCTCATGAATTAAGGGAAGAATTTGTGAATTCACATGTTAGACTAGTCTGTACAAAGGAGATGGAGCCCTTTTTTGATGTGTTTGTTCTCTTTCCTATTGAGATGGGAAAATAAAGTTTAATTTACAGAATATGCTGACCTGTAAATTTGAGAGATGCAAATGGTCCATGACATGCTTACACTGAGATTTCAGTATATTGCTGTGTCACTCTGCTAAACCAAGATCCCATGTAACAGCAAATATCTTCAGACAAGTAAACTGGTTCTAGAAGACTAAACCCTCTTTGCATTTTGTATCTAAAGGAACACGGTCAGAGCATATTGGACTCTTGACAGTAGCAACAAAATGTTCTTTGGCTGTGGAAATCACAGATGGTCTAAACGTTCCCTTTAGTTGAATCTATCAGACTGCAATTTTTGGTACCTCAACCTGATATAACAGATTAGGATGTTTCCCCCCCCCCCAATCCAAACATTTTATATCATAATTTTTTAAACCCCAAGCAACTGCTCTCATTCTAGGAGCTGCAGGAATATCTCTTACTACAGTGGAATTTTTTCAACAATGTTTGACTGTTCAAGAATAATTGCCATAGTACAAAATACCAGCAGCTTTATTGATCAGACTTCATATGCAACTTAGTACAATTCCCACACAGGACATAACTACACTGGATCAAGTTAATAGACTTCAGTATGTAAAAATCAAAATGTAAAGGCTGCACTTGAAACTCTTCTGTTGGCAGAAGTTTTTCTAACATTATTCACACTCTAATTCCAGATCTACTTCCATTACAGAACATTCTCTCTCTCCAAACCTCCATTCTTATGCTTTCAGTGAACTCAAAATCACGCCTTCTGTATTTCCTATGGTAGTCTGATATTCAGAAGAACAACCGCACTAATTCTGCATGCCAAGAAGTTATCGATATGATGTCCTTAAGGACTACGATTCTCTGTTAGTTTATAAGAATGATAAAACATTTCTCCTTATGGCACACTGGAAAGAGAGGCATTGGCTTGGATGTCTGAATGCACCTAAACTGCGCTGCACTCACTGTAGAAGGAAACAGACCATAACCAATACTACCCCACTCACTTTAATCACATTCCTTATTTTAAGAACCTGTTTCTAGATAATTTTTTATTATATTGTATTAACATGAGTTAACTAAATGGTAATTGACAGCTTACTAAGACTGCTTTATATTCCAGTGAAAACAACACACAATTTAAGAATATAGATTTATCTTTACTTACCGTTCTTTTTCTAGTAAGAAATAAAGAACTTTCAGTGTCTGTATTGTTCTTTGCAATTGCACTGGTAAATTCCTGCCAGTGGAGAATTATTTAGCTCTGATCAGCACAGTCAAGAGTTCTTGCATACAATAGCCACGAACAACATTTATGCCAACACAATGATTAGCATGAGATTTACACAGCACTTCAAGGCTCCTTAGTCTCTAGTAGTAAAATCATCTACACATTTTACACCCCATGCTCTTCTAAACAGCAGAGAGAAACCCATCCTCAAGGGTCATAAAGAGTAAAGGGGAAAGTGTAGGTAAATACTTTTATCATGAAATAGCATGATAAAGAATAGAACTTAGTTTAAGTTCTTCCTGATGAAGTTAAACTCGCTTGTAAAGAAATAATCCAGCTATGACTGTTACTATTCTGAAGCAAAATTAACAGAGCTTCCTCAATCTAAATGCTAGTGACAAAAGCAAACAACATATAACCATAAATACCAGTGTTACTAATGAATCACAAGACACTAAGTTAATACAGTCCTAAATACCAAGCAATAAAGTAAAAGTAGAATAGAGTGGTTGAACTAAAAGAGCAAGAATGACATTCATGTAATGACATGATCAGTCACTACACAAAGCCCTTCTAACGTAACTCTCACTTCTGAATAATCATATTTTAAATACTCATTTATCTATCAGGGCAGCACGGATATGAGCAAAAACAGTTGTGACCTGTCAAATTTCGATGAAGTATACTGTAAGCACACCCCTTTTTGCATTATTACACCAACTACTTTAAACATCTGCATCACAAAACAGAGCACTGTCAGCACATCAGTACTATCATCTGCAAGTGATGTCAGAGAGAGAAGCCTTCAGTGAATATGCCTTCTTAAATTTCTTGTCGTGCAAAATGCAAATGTACTATATATGAGCTACGTATATTTTTCAAACAGTAGCTATTAGAAACTTAAGTCAAAAAAGTTATACCATCGCTCTTGTAAGCTCAACACACAGCTTTGCACATACTACCTGGACTCTTACGGTGAATGGCATCATCTGTTACACTTGAAAATCTGCCACCTGCTCTTAGTTCTGAAGCAGGTTCTGACCACTTTGAGACACACTGTTCAAACTTTGGAGTTACTGCAGCATAATGAAGCAGCTCTTCATATTCATCCTGTCACAAAGTGATAATGAATAATTATAAAACTACAATTACATTTCTAAAAACTAGGTATATGTAGGAAGGAGTAGAAATGGGTTTTGATAATTTTTGAAAGGTTTATTATTACTATTATTATTATGGTGAAAACTAAGAGGATTTCCCTTAAAGTTGCAAAAGCAAGCTGTTTTCCTACCATGATGATGATAATTTACCTTTCTCTTGTTTCATGTTCATGTTCATTCTGATTAAACTAGATGCACTGTAATAGTTACACAGAAAGACTTTGCTAGATGCCAGAAATGGATACCGTAATAGGCATCTTAAACAAAAACATGAAAAATTCCAGATCGTGTAAGCTGTTAATCACCTAATACTATTTCTAAGCATTACTATTAGTGCAAAGAAAAATATGTATTTTTATATCCACGACGAAGATGCTACTGAACACAAGACACACTTCACATTCCGTAACATTGCAATTTCTGTGGTGGGAGTTCTAAAGCCAATCATCAGAAGACATTTGATTATTGAGTATTTTCTTTAGATTAGATATTATTATTCTCACCTTATATTATGCATTTTTTAAATTATATAAATATAGGGAATGTGTATATATAGCTAAAATAAAAGCTTTTCCTGTTAAAAAGTTATAAACCAATCTAAGTGGTGCATGGCCTTATACTATGTACCAAAGTAAGCCAATTAATATATTTTTTGAAATCTCCTAATTAAACAGATTTTCGGAATGCAAGTATTTAGAGTTCAATGTGAAACTGAACAATCTGTATTATATCTTAAACATACAATCCAGTAATTCATTAAAAAAGTTCCAGTAGCAGTTAAATGCTGAAAACGATCAAAGCCACTAATGAAACATTTGGGAAAAAACACCAGTTGTAAAGTACTAAACCAGGCTACTAGCAGTCATTTTTTCTTATTTAATACTATCGCACTAATTCTGTTTAGTATCCTAACAAGGTCAAACCTCAAAAACCAATTATGAATTGAAAAATTATTTTTCTCTTCAAGCTGAGGAGTTAGAGTGGAAACAATCAGTCAAAGGTACCAATTACATGTAATATGTTTTTGAATCTACCAGCTGAAAAGGATAATATTTTAAAACTTTCAGTGTAACCCTTACATTTAAGGGGATTCCAACTAATTAAAGAATTTAAGAAGCTAGGTTTTGTACATTTTAGCTGAATTCTAATTTCCTGTCAAATTTCCATTTCCCATCTTCTAACCTACTAGGTTAAAATTAAAAGACTAAATGTATATGAAGCTATATAATTACAAACAAATGAACAGTGTATCTTTTTGACAAGCAAAAGGAAGTATCACATTCCACATAAAAGGTATAGTTAGTTGTGAATCAACAAGTTATCAATTTTTCCATATCCATACCTTTCTAAAGAAATACAGTTTAGATTTTATCAGATGTCAAAAGAAGAAAACAGGTGTCTTCAGATGAGTTATTCAACCAGGAACTACATGGAACTGTACAAAATTCCCTGCAGCAAAATTTCAGCTGAGTAAAAAAGCCAATACATTAGCTTTTACCTTAAGTCATCTAAATTAAATGATTTTGCAGAAGACATTAGATCACTTCTCTGTCTTCTTCAAAGAGATCATGTGACCAAATAACAACTTAAAACTAACTCTCCCTCCCAAACAAGTTAGTTTTCAGTCAGAGCTGATGCAGTTGCTTTCATGATTACCTAATTCAAGGGACATAGGAGGTAAGATGTCAGGGGCAAGTTGGCGGCTCACTTTGAGACACCCAATTTAATCACTAGCACACCATGTGCCTCATTATAGACATCCTGAGCACTCAAAATATACATACCAAGTTATGGCAGGAAATTTATCTAGTCTTTCAAGATGTAACACTTATTAAAATGCAAAGAATCCATTATGTGCAAGAATACACATTCTTACGCACCAACAGAAAGTGTCAGTAGACAGCATCCAGCAAAAAATCTGGAAATAAATGCTTATAAATTATAATATTACAATACTGTTGGAATGAGGTTGAAAGCAAATATCAAAGAAAACACAGTATCCCGATTGTAACCAGAAACTTAAGGCACACACAAAAAAATAATCCCGGAGACTGCAACAAGAATATGTAAGACAGAGAAACGGAAACACTGAGTGATGAGGTGTAGTATCTCAATCTTAAATACTGCGTAACAAGGATGCATTGCAAGGAATGCAATATTGACCAAAAATTTTCAAATAAAAACATAATAAAATAAAATTAACAATATAACTTTGGTTTTCTTACTCTCTCTGTTCTGCTTGAAACAAAACTTTCAAGCTGTTATGTCAACTACAAATAGTCTATCAGAGCATAAAACTACAGTCCTAAGGCCTGAAGGTCAGAGGAGTTTTGATCATTTGATACATACTACCTTGGTTTTGTAGAAGTAAATAAATCAGTGTTGCAATGACCAAAGGGCACAAGAGCATTCAGAGGTGGGGTTTTTTTTCTTCCTTCCTAAAGTATTGTAGAAATCTACAGATGCTGCATAGAGTTTGTCCTTAGGATTGCAGTCAAGGTTACTAAACAACACAAAAAGATTGGATTCAATGGATAAAGTCTTGCACAACTCAATAACAAGTAACTGGAAATTCTCTAAGAGCCAGTGGAATCTTTTTGTAAGGAAAAGGTAATAATCTGGCCTCTATTTAAAAGCACCAAATTATCAAAAAGGCCCAAATAAAACAAACCAAAAAAGGCCCTTCAAAATTATCTAAAAGAAGTAGAGTACTTCCCTGTCAACATTCCTATTGCTCAGCTGTGACCCCAGTGTTGTTCTTTTTCAACAGTAATAGACTCCTGTGAGGACTGGCTAAGGACTTTGGGTTTGCCTAGTTTGGAGAAAAGGAGGCTGAGGGACGACGTCATTGCTCTCTACAGCTTCCTGAGGAGGGGAAGTGGAGATGGAGGTGCTTATCTCTTCTCCCTGGGATCCCGTTACAGGACGTGTGGGAATGGTTCAAAGCTGCACCAGGGGAGGTTTAGACTGGATGTTGGGAAGCATTTCTTTACCGAGAGGGTGGTCAAACACGGGAGCAGGCTTCCTGGAGAGGTGGTCGATGCCCCAGGCATGTCAGAGTTTAAGAGGCATTTGGACAATGCCCTTAATGATGTGCTTTAACTTTTGGTCAGCCCGGAATTGGTCAGGCAGTTGGACTCGACGACTGTTTTAGGTCCCTTCCAACTGAAATATTCTATTCTATTCTGTATGTGGTCTCACTTGCAAAGCAGTCATTCATTAACATTAGTTACTTTATCATTCCCTACAAGGCGGCCTTAGAATCTCCTTCATAATCAATCAGATCATAAAAGAAAATTCTGGTCTTTCAAGGTTTGTTACACAATGCCTTCATCCTGTTTTCCAACTACAAAAGGCACTGGAAACACAGATCAATTACTGTTGCTGAACAAAGAAAACTTACCCATGAGATATGACCACAAATAGGAAAGCATACAAACTGCAGAAATGACTTGCCCATAAACAGGTAGTTTAAAAGGGACAAATTCAATCCACATGAAGAAAAAAAAAATCCCTTAATTTAGCAGTGCTTCTGCTGTACATGCCCATTCCACCAGATGACAGAAGTGGAGATGTGTTTCTACAGGACAACTAGCAAAACTTATTTGTCATGTCATGGTTTAACCCCAGCCAGCAACTAAGCACCACACAGCTGCTCACTCACTTCCCCCCCACCCAGTGGGATGGGGGAGAGAATCAGGAAAAAAAAAGTACAACTTGTGGGTTAAGAACAGTTTAATAGGACAGAAAGGAAGAAAACAGTAATGACAATAATAAAATGACAATAATAATAACAATAATAAAGTAATTAGAATATACAAAACAAGTGATGCACAATGCAATTGCTCACCACTCACTGACCGATGCCCATTTAGTTCCCATGCAGCGATCGCCCCCAGGCCAACTCCCCCCAGTTTATACACTGAGCATGGCATCACATGGTATGGAATATCCCTTTGGCCAGTTAGGGTCAACTGTTCTGGCTGTGTCCTCTCAACTTCTTGTGCCCCCACCAGCCTTCTTGCAGGCTGGGCATGAGAAGCTGGAAAATCCTTGACTTAGTATAAAAACTGAAAACATCAATGTGTTACCAACTTTATTCTAATACTAAATCCAAAACATAACACTACATCAGCTACTAGAAAGAAAATTAACTATCCCAGCTGAAACCAGGACATGTCAGAACTAGCCTGTTTTGGATAGAATCCTATCAAAGGAAAAAACGCCACCCACTGCTCAAATAGGAATAACCAATTATTAAAGGATGAAAATCTGCTGCTTTCAAATGAACAGGACAAAGACTTTATCCAGTATCTTTGCATCGTTTCAAAAGAATGCTGAGCACAGAAAAGGCAAAAGTGCCTTCATTATAGTTCTAGCATATCTTGTTGTATTTGATGCAGGAAGGAAAAAAAAAAAAAAAAGGATTTAGTTTCTGAGATTAACTTGGCCACAATCCTACTACAAGGGAAATAAATCCATTAAAAAATTCAGCTCTTACAACATCATGTAAGAAGCCTAACACATAGTTACACTTCATCCCTCAGAAATAATGGGTTTCTATCCTACTGTGTCAAATTTATGCTTCCTGATAAGACCTAACACATAAAAATAACACCAGGAAAAAAAAAGGTAATAAAATTGTACTCTTTTACTTGTAGCTGTCATTGATCAATTTCTTAAGTTTAGATAAGAACTTTCACGTAAATTAAAATTTCTTGTGAAATGCACAAAAGGGAATCCAAGTGAAGGTATTTTAATCTCAGATTTTGTCTAATTTGCTTCTTTTCACTAATATTTTTATCTTCCTGTACACGTAAAACACAAAAAAAGATGCAAGTTTTGTTAGATTTCCTCATCATTATCCTTTGCCAAATAAAATGTTATGACAGTGAATCTTTCCTACCTGAATATCTGAAGAAACAGAACTGCCTCGAACAGAGTCTTTTGGCAAAACTGGACTTGTGCTTTTCTCCTCATCTGATGACATTCTGCACAAAGTTAGTCTATAAAACAGTAGAAGCTGAAATTAATTTTTCAGTTCCGACATGTTTACTGTATATTCACCAACATTTTCCCCAGAAAGAGAGATTCTGCTGTAGAAACTACATCAGTGCCCATTCTGTGGGCTGAACTGATTGTATAGTCTCATTATATAATGCTAGGTAGGAAACTGCCTGATCCAAACCATACTCAAAACCATGAAAAGACTTCCATTGACTTTAAAAGAAAACAATGGAAGACCCAAAAGCAACAATGTAAAAGCTTTCTTGTATTTTGCATTGACTAAGTTTAATACCTAATGCTTCATGATATACAATATAAAATTTTACATCAATGGTAACTAAAATAAACTGCTAGAGCAAAAAAAAAAGAAACAGATATATCAAGAATAACAGAAACCTTAATTTACAGATACATTCCTGTGTCAGTCCCTCCTTTGTATTAACACTGTATTGTTTTAGAGCTTATCAGCTCGTTTCAGTACAAAATTCCTACAAAGTGACACAGGAATGACTAAGCTATGCTGTGATTTTTTTTCCCTCTTAACTACCTCAACCACAGCCCAAGGTGAGATGATGTCCTGAACACTCCAGTTCAATACTCTGAAGCCTTCACTTCGTGGTTAACAACAGTCTCCCTCCACTTTTTCAACTCTTCTTGCCTTATAGACCCAGAAAGCCAGATATGGAAGGACAGGTAATGCCTTAGGTTCAGGTAATGTCAATCATTCCAGCAATTTCTAAGCAAGATAGAGAGGTATTCTTTGAACGTTTGGGAAGCAGGCAATGTTGTAGAACTGATAAGAAACTTGAAGACTTTCTGAAATATATATGTATCTTTTAATCTACTGCAGCATTCAGTAAGTCCTTCAGTGAAGAACTGAAGCTCTTGTGATAAAACTTGATAGGATATGGGGAAAAAAATCTCTAAAGGATATGGAGAGGAATGAAAGGACTTAGAGAATGAATGGGAACCGAGTATTAAGCAAGGTGAATTTGTTAATGAATGAATGGCAGAGTGATATAGTTAGTTGCCTGATACACATGAAAAAACAATCATCAGACACACTGAGCAGGGAGTTGTCAGCAGAGAGTAAGCATGGGAAGACCACCACCATAAATAACCAGAGGAACTAACTGCTTGCACAATGTAGCAAACAACCATGCAAGGGAAATTTATTTTTAGAGAGACCTTTTAAACTATCAAGTATAATACTTTCAGTTGTTTTTTAAACAGATGCATTTTCTGACAGAAATGTTATTTTTAAACTGCTAGTTGTACTGTCATTAAATTGGCAGGAATATCCTCCTTAAGCATCATCAGCTTTTTTTCAAAACATAAAAAACCCACAATAATCTCATAGCTCTCTATATAGGAATACAGATGAAAATTAATTGTCTTTTTGTTCTTTGAGTTCTTCTAGATGACGATTCTCCCTGCACCACAAAAGCTCCCTCTGCCATGGGTATCTACACCTGTCAGAATAGGAGGTTTGTTTCTGTGCTGAAGATGGAAATTTTAAAAATGGTATAAAGACAATTTTAAATGCTGAGATTTCCTATAGCCCAAGGTTCAAAAGACGATTACTGTCTCCCTACTTTCTGCTGATGCCTAACATACCAACCATGTTTTTTAAGTACAAAATATGGAGTCTTAGGGAGGTTTACTAAATACTTTGTTGCTGTAAACTGGTATGTAGATGAGGGAAGAAATAGTAGCTTCCCCATCTGTTCTGTTTTCATTGTCTCCTGCTCTGATAATTTTCTTCTTTCCTCTCTTCCCCCAAATTATTCCCTATCTGTTTCTTTGGTTTTGGCCTCTCTACCTTATCAAATAACTTTATACTAGCACTCCCCCTTTAGTTGATAAATTCTTTTAATAGCCAAAAAATACTTCTTCAGTAATCTTAAAAAATTAGCTTCAACTCCATATGCCTTTCCACTCATACAGTTTCTTAAATTATGGTCCTGACTACCCTCAAAGTCCTGGAGGTATTCAAACGCGTGTGCGTATCACAAAGGACCAACTATTTAGCACTTACAGGAATTAAAGATGTATTTGCAGCCAGAAATTACAAATACTGTTTTCTTCCCTTCTCAGTCCACTCAAAAAGAACGAAACTACCATCAATTCTTCTGTGAAAGAGGAGGGCAAGTGGAGTTTCATGTGAACACAGATGAGTCCAAGGAAGTGGAAGAGTAAAGTTTCTTCCAAAAAGTTTGACTTTTGAAAAGTTCTAAAACTCACTGTCACCTCAAGCTCAGTGTGTTTGCCTTTGTCCCATCCCTTTTCTTTACTTTATACCAGTAGACTAACCCTCCACTGTGTTTGTCCATCTGACTGCCTTTACTGACTTGAATGCCACTTCAGATTCCACTAACCACTTAAAGTTCGAGCTTTCCCCACATTTCTGTTTTTCCTATCTGTACCTCTGATGTTTGTGTCTAGAGTCTAACCTTGCATTTTGATTACTGCAACATTCCAGTGAAAATCCCAGTAAATCTAATAGAATCTGCTTATGTACAGAACAACAGATTGGATTAGTATGATACATTAAGGTAAATACACTTCTTTCAAGCTGATTTTTACAGACATCATTGCCACATCATCCTAAGAATAACTTGTCTGCTTTGATCTCAGTGAACAAGCACTAAGTTCAAGAAAAGACTGGATAAGTTTGTAAAAGAGAAATCAAGCGATACTAAGTCAGACACCATCTCTGGGTCAACACGTTGATTTGCTAAGCTGCAAATCATTACATGGTGAGAGAAGCATCTTTGGGCTTACCGTGTTCTTCTAATCTTCCCCAAGCATCTGCTAAACATATGCCTGGCTTCATTAAAGAAAGATACCTGGTAACAGCAGTAGTTTCTTCCAAACTGTAAGTGTATGACTACAATTCTAAGACGGCTATTTTTAGAAACAGGACGCAACTATAAAGATCTTTGGTCTGACTCACCGTGGCTGCTCTCATCCTTGGTTTTGAACTGCTTGAGCTGTGCTCAGGGTTTTCGGCTTGTTTTTGACTAAAAGCGATGCTTTCCAAATAATTTAACGCTGCATTCAGATCAGAGGACTCAACACCTAGGAAAGAGAACCACTCTATCTCCCGGTACACACAGGACATATTTTTAGCCCTTAACTGTACCCCCCTGCAAAGTAGCACTGCTCAAGTCCACGTTTTTAAGCTTCTCACTGCAGCACCTCTGCCAACTACTCCTGACGCCTGCAGAGCTGACATTACAGCGACCACCGCTGGCACGCCAGCTAGCGACAACGAGGACAAGCCGCAGGGTGTCCGACAGACACCTGGAAGGCACAGCCGGGTAGGCACACGGGTGGACAGGCAGGAAGGAGCACAATTCCGCACGTGAACAGGAGATTTTTTTAATTTTTTTTTTTTTAAAGACGACCTTTAAGGCAACCAGCCCAACCACCCGGGCGCAGGGGGTGCCCACAGGCCCCCTCAGAGGGCGGTGGGAAGCTCGGGGGGCGGGGTGGGGTGTGTGGGGACTGCGGGTAAGCCGCCGGGCAGGAACAGCGGGTTTATGGAGAAGGTACTGTGGAGGTCACGGCCCCTCGGGGCGCAGCACCCCCGGCCGCCCCCCGCCGCCCCCCTCTCACCTGCGGGCACCAGCCGCCCCCGGCCGCCGGGCGAGACGGTTTCAAACTATCCGAGCGGAAGAAGAAGCACCTCTCTGATACGCTCAAGGCGCGTTTACAAGGCATTCTCTGATTGGGCAGTTTGGCGGCAAAATGGCCAGTTAAATTGCTCAGCCGGGGGGTGGGCGTGTTAGCCCGTCCCCTCGCCGTCCCTCTTTCGCTTACGGCCGCTTCGCTCTCCCGCCGGCTTCTGCCGGTCAGCGGCTGCCGCGCGCTGATTGGCGGCGGCATTCCCGGGGCCGGCGCGCGGGTTGCGGCCGGCCGTTGGCGGGGGCGTGAGTGTGAGGGGCTGCGCGCGGGGCGGTCCTGTGGCACCGCTATGGGCGGGCGGTGGCTGGAGGGCGTTTGAGTTCGGCCCCCGCCAGGGCTGCGGTGTCTGCAGGATGCTGGCCTGCGCCCCTCGCCGAGCGGCAAAGCGGTGGCTAATGGCCCCGTCAGTGCGGGGAGGCGGCCGTAGGAGACCGTGCCAGCCTAAAAGCTTGGGCTAGGCAAGGTGGGGGAGCCTGGTGGTCTCCATGTTGGAGAAGAGATACTGAAGGGCATTCCTGTGGAGAATAAGGACTCAAAAAAAGAGGATTATTTAGTGGAACTACTTCATTCTTAAATGTTTCCACCTATGCTAATTATGAAGCTAGAAAACCTCCCAGAGCAGGTGCTTTAAATAATTTTTGCAGGGATGTTACAGAAGGAGCTCTGGGCCCGTGGTTTCCAGCATTCCTCTCCAATCCAGCCTTTCTAGAAAACCTTTCACAGGGCAGACATGCTAGATGAATTTAGGTCTTAAATTAGGTCTACCCTGTGGTAGAGCTATGTGTAGCACACCCTACCTGAGGCAAAGCTGCTGGGTCAGCGGCTGGAGCAGTAACTGCTCGGTGTGATCCCAGAGAGAACTGCTTTTATTGCTCTTATCTCAGGGCTATAATAAACAGAAATTCAACACTGAGTTTTAAAGATTTTCAATCAGGCGTCAAGGAGTTTGCTACTATCTTAATTGTTCTTTTTTGTAATGCATGCTCTTGACATAGAAAATCTTTTCAAAGTAATTTACAGCTCTGAAGTCTGGCTACAGCTGTATCATCTGGTGTGTCAGAGCCATAAATGTCCTGGTCAAGCTCCACAATATGTGAATATACCTTATATTGCACCAACATTTTGTCTGATAACATGACAAAGATAGCATAAAATATCCAAACATCCACAAAATTATAATTTGCCCTTTATAAATGTTTACACAATATATGTGTCTTGTTCTAGAATCATTTGCATCTGCGAAACACAGTTAAACAAGTAAGGAAATCATCACCCCTCTTAGAGGCATTAAGT